TCCCGGCGTCATGTTACTTTCAAAATCTTCACTAATTCCATGTCCATGGGACAGCAATTGGATGGCGAGCTTAACATGTTCAAACGCATGGAGAAAGGCTCAAAACACTGCCATGGCCATCATTATTTCAGAAATTTGCTAGGCTCTTTTGAGATTGACAAATCTTCAGCTAAGCACGTATGCCTCGTGTATCCTCCCTTATGGGTAAGCGTTTAGGGAGTTTCTTTGCCGCAACCCGGTAGGGAGACTTCCTCCGCCTATTCTAGCAGGCGTTCTACGGTCCCTATTCCTAGCGCTGGATTATCTACACACGGAATGCAAGATTATGTATGCCGGTTTGTGGCCAGATGCATGTACTTCGATCAATCACTAATGGTAATTTCGTATCAGATATCAGTGCTGGTGATATCATGATGGGAATTGAAGATGACTCAGGGTTCAGAATTCGAAGAGATGGAAATGCGAGATCCTAGCCCTAGAAAGGTCGTTGATTCAGATGGAAGGACAATATACTGGTCCCATGAACTCAGAATACCCAAGTGAATAGGCAACCCAATTCTATGCGATTTTGGATCGGCCGTGCCTGGTGATTTAGAGCACTCGGAAGACATTCAACCGAGTTTCTACCGCGCTCCTGAAGTAATTCTAGGGGTTCCATGGACATATAGTGTCGATGTATGGAACGTGGGATGCATGGTAAGAAAGACTACCGGGTCAGCCATACTACGACAAGATTTGTTCACGCTTTTATAGATCTGGGACATTTTCGAAGGAAGTCATTTGCTTACCGGCCACGACCCTGGATTTAAACAGTACTGAAGTCGAGCCCATCTTGCCGATATGATCAATCTTCTTGATCCTCCACCGCCCAGCCTTCTCGAACAAGGCAGGGACACTAGCAAGTTCTTTACTGATGAATGTCAGTAAGCCAAATTAAGATGATTCATATTCATGTACAGATTTACTCACCATTTATGAATATCTAGATGAGTTCCGCGCCAAGGATTTATTGAAAAATTCTGTTCCCCTTGAGGAGAGAGAAACAACTCTCGAGGGCTTAGACAAAGTGGAGTTTCCATGTTTGATGCGGAAGATGCTGCAGTGGGAGCCGGAAAAGCGCAGCTCTCCTAAAGAGCTAGCCGAAGATGAATGGCTTCGACACTCGCATTAAGGATCAATGATCAATCACATTCTAGACAAGTCATACATACTCAGGTACATACCCCATGCCAAGTGGGCCACAAGATGCGTAGCCTGACAGATAAGAGGCCGATAGGCACCTACCCGGGGTGGTTCCACGGCTCGGGGGACGTGATGGACCCACTTCGTCCCAAGGTTTGATCTCGTCAATTTATGTCAATTTATGTGTCTCTCTCCTCCTCTCCTTCCCTCATTGTGATTCCCACTCTGAGACATTTTAACCCCTTCCACCATGTTCGAATGCAGCACCTGTGACGAAGAATTCTGGTGGCAGGAAGACTGCGATGAGCACATGGATGACTATGGTCACTGGATTGAGTGTGAAACATGCAATCGAACCTTCCGCACCAAGACCGCTTGCAATCAGCATATGAACGCCGTAGATCACTGGGCACCGACCTTCGAATGCGAAACTTGCACTAGCACCTTCTATTCTCAACACGCCGCCAACAACCATATGAACGCGAAGGGCCACTGGCTCCCGAAAGTTCCGTGTGAGATGTGCACGACCAAATTCCACACACAGCAGGCTGCAGAGAATCACATGAGGGCCAAGGGACACTACAAGAACTACTGCCAAGAATGCAAGCGTAAATTTACAAACGAGAACTGCTTGCGCCAGGTAGGAGAGCTTACAAAATCCGAGATGAAAATTTGAACCTGGTTGACTTACCACTGTCTCATAGCACCTGAATTCCAAGACCCATCGTGGAACCAACATTGCGTGTCCGTTCTGCCGAACTGGCTTTGTCACTGCTAGTGGTGTCTCCCATCATCTTGAGAGTGGATCTTGCCCTCGCGCTAAAGCCTTGAACCGCGACCGCATCCACCAAATTATTCAACAACTTGATCCAAATGGCGTTGTCTGCAAAAAGCAGATCGGGTGGCACGATGAACAGAATTCGACCTACTTGGTCACCGACAGTGCCTGGAACGGTGACTCCTGGGTGTGTTACTTGTGCAAAAGGGGGTTCAACTTGCGGAAAGCGCTGGAATCGCATGTCAACTCGCCTGTGCACAAAGAGAAGGTGTATCACTGCCTCAAGCGCGGCTGTCCAAAAGAGTTCCACTCCTTAGCGAGTCTGTTCAACCACCTGGAGAGTGAAACGTGTGGATTCATTCGGTTTGAGGGAGTTCAGCAGGTTCACCAACAGCTACACGATGCTATCAGGGGCCGCCGTATGATTACTAATTTCTAGTTTTTTTTTACAACTATTTGTTCGAAATGCTGCAGCCACTCACTCGAAGAATTGAGTTTGCTAAGCGCGATGGAGGGCTCTACTTGCAAGCAGAAGACAGTTTTATTTCTTATTGCCTTCTTTCTTTGAAAAAGATCGATGTAACACCTCCAATGTCCTTTATCAAGTACTTTAATATCCTGATTGATCATAAAGTCGGCAATAGCCAATCGAGCCTATCCACAGCGTGAAATCTGAGCGCTTCCCTCGCAGTCTACTTCTATACACACTGCACTACGTACCTGCATAAAAGTACCTCGCTTCGTGGGTTGCATTTCAACATAGTCTGCTTCCAGTCTCTATTCAGTCAGAAACAGCGCTTCCAGTACGGAGTACAAATGGACACGAGTGGGAAGATAAGGGGTTGTAAACTAGGTCGAAATAACGTAACATGACAGGAATCCATGATACAACAAGGTATTAGGGGATCAATGGATATGGCTGACGGATCTCACAAGCGAGCTGGGCAGTCCAAAATTTGTGGTAACTGTGATAGTTTCTTCACTTATGTCTCACCAACCACGGTATAGTTTAATCTCATTGTCATTCGATAGCAATCGACGAGACTTTCTGACACTATACATTAATAAGAAGAGAATTAAAAAGCTGCATTATTATAGAATTGAAACTACGTCACCCAAAGTCAGAAATATATCTAAAATGCAGTCGTAAAGTCCCAGATGTTTTCTAAACTCGGTAATCTACATCACCTAAAAAACACCGGTCTATAGAAGCCCCTATAGAACACCATTTTTGGTATGTCAAATTGTAATTAATCATATTTATTATGTGTTTTGAACTGTGCAGATCGCCTGTGAAATACGTCAGTTAAATCTCTATAATGACATGACATCTCACGTTTGTGCGATGCCTTAGGCCTCCGCCAAGAACTCATGTGTGCCTTGCGATTTTCATTACCTTACCACCTCATTGCAACTACCCACTTCTCTCTTTCCAGTACCATCCTACTTTTTCTTACTTATCTAACCACTACAACATAACCACCGGTGTTAGAGTAAAATATTGTCATAGATCAACTATATGCGCTACTATATATATTGGTCCTGGGCATGCCAGAGCGAGAGCTCTGACCTAATGGTCTTTTGGCCGAGCGGAAGGGAGTGCGCCCAGGCATAACCTTTACAGAATAGGCTCTATAGCTAAAAGCTCTCTAACCTTAAAATTGGGGTATTTCCACTAGGTAGATTGAAACTACGCTATAGTAGTAGAAAAGTAGTAAAAAGATTAAGTGATGCTAGTAGTAAGCAATTCATACGGGTTTTAGGTGTAAGGCCTGTCAACCGGATAAGGTAAAACGTTGGGAGAGGAGAATTCAATGTGTTGTCTTATAAGTGCCAAGACTAATTCATGCCGGAAATAAGAGGAACCCCATGGGTCCTGGACTCTAAGGAAAATAATTGGACACGCTCGGTTACCGGTCATGTGACGAACTCCGCTCGGTTCGAACCCGTAATCATCCTGATACTTCATTTATCAGCTGATCCCTATATACATGCTGTATGGATCTTTATCCGTTACACAAACGACTAGTAAGTATGTAGGAAGATATATAGAATCCCTTGGAAATCACATCTATAGATCCCATATCTTTCACACCGAAACGGGATGACCTAGACAAATAAACTAAATCTTTCCAAACGAAACCGCCTTCTCAAATGGCAAATGGTGGGGGGGGGGGGGGGGGGGTGCCCACGTGAGCATTGACTATGGGATTAAAGCGAGATGCCAGGCGGGGCCGAGTTGATCTGGGAGCATGTACGGAAAAAAATACAGCCAATTTTACCGCTAGACTGCAATTAAACCCTCGATTTATGTGTGGGGCCTAGAGTGGGCTGTATCCCATTCTGACAGTATTTTGTAGATCAATGTGGCTTAGGTGGTAGGGACGCAGTATGGTTTTCTGTGGCGATGCTACAATCAACAGCACCTGTGTTGGATGCCAAGAGAGAATTAACCTAAGATGACCAGAGGGTCGTGCTAACTGTTAACAGTGTTTACCAACATCATACTCAACATCAGAGGGTTGGGTGTTGATGTTGAGGGTGCGGCTGCGGTCAGGCATCTTTCGATTAGGGAGCCGGGACGTGTGAAGCCGGATGGTAGTGAGGGGGGGGGCTGTTAGGCTTGAGGGGTGAGTGAGGAGTGTATTTCCGGGGTTGGCTTGAGCGCGAGATTCGGATGATGCGAAACCCTGAGAGTATTGTGTAGATTTAGATTGTGTATAGTGCATGGTACAAAGGTCATAATTAGAGGCAGCATTGCATCGTCAATGGCAGTCAGATGTGGCGTGACTGTTTAAAATTTGAGGTTTCTTTCAACCCTCATCGCCAACCCCCAACCCGTCCTTCATCCCACCGTGCCTTCGCCTCCTTCCGAGCCGCCAATTTGGACGCCTCGCCCCGTACGCGCCGGACCCAATCTGCAATCTCCTTTTCCGTAGCCCGGCCATGGTGATCCTCATCAAGAAAACTCTCCTCAACAGCATGGCATACAGCCTCCTGCTCCGTGATCGCCGCGCTGAAGCGCTGGTATAGCGCTTTCGGTGACCATGGGGCTAGGGCCGCATCCATTTCGGCTTGCTTTTTGCGCCAGGAGACCTCCAGCGACTGATGTGTAATTAGTAATGTTTCGGTGGAGGCGCGAACCTCGGCGAGGTGATTCTGCATCTCTAGGACGCGGGTCGCGAGGTCTTTGTTCGTTTGGATAAGAGTCTCGAGGTGCTGTTGACGAGTCGTGCAGGAGGGATGTTGGCTTGAGAGGGCAGAGATAAGGGTTGGGTCTCCGAGGATTGTTTGGAGGTCGGTTGTTCTGGTTTGCGTGGGTAAGAGGTGCTGATAACCTTGTTTTTGGGGGGGAGAGGGGGTTGAGGGGACCCACGACTTATCGGAAACCAGACCTGGGAGCCAGCCTTCCTCAATTGTTGGAGGATCTGCGATATGTGGTTGTTGAGAATTATTGGGGTGAGCGCCCTGGTGAGCGCCTGCCGGGTTGTCTGGATGCCAGGGGTGCGCAGAAGTATTTTGCGGGGTGGCGCGTCGGCTGGCTTCGTGGCTGTTGGGTTTGGGGGGTGGCGGAGGGGGTGTATCGGGATTCATGATTTGGGGAGGGTAGAATTGCGACTGCGAGGGAAATGGAGATGGTGGTTGAGACATGATATGGTGGTTGGTGGTTCTTGTAGGCCAAGTTCGTCGGAAATGCGAAATGGGCTTGAGCTTGGCGGGGACTAAACCGGTGATCTACGCAGTTGCATCAACTGTGATAGTAGGATCTATCCCAATATAGATAAGAGCTAAGCATATTGTACAAAAAACTGTTTCAATAGATGTCTCGTGATAATTCGTGATTTAATCCTAGTCATTTGATCGTATGGAAGCTTTCTTCGTGCCTCCCCACTCGGATGACCCCAAACAGGGACTATAGGAGCCTTCACAGCGAGACTCAAAATTTCAAGGAGATTTAAAGATCCCCCAGGCAACGGCGGAGTTCCCTTCCACGCCCGATACAACCAGCAAGGACTTCAGGACTCCGACTGAGAATGCTTGGATGGAATTTCTTCCAGGAATTCGCAGCTTCAATCGCGATGTTACTCTCATGTCCCGACAGATCCCCGATATGACAGTGGAACAAGCTTAATAGACAATGCTCCTGTTTACTCGGTTCTCCTCCGAATTTCCCGCTCCATAGCTTCAATGTTTGACCCGGCCATGGCATCCTTGACCAACTCGCGCACCTCATTTTGCACCTCCTCGCTGTAATAATCCTCACGGGTAGCAAGCTCCTCAATGCGCCTCTTGAATTCTGGATCAGGTTCACCACCAGCAGTAGCCTCCTCCTCCGTCATTGTACCAATGTTGACTCTCATATCGCTGCCAGGGATAGGTCCAGGAGAGTTCAGAACTTCGGCAGCTTGAGCATGTGTTGGAGTAGGAGCACCCCCAACAACTTCGCGGAGGTAGGCGGCGACCTGCGGGAACTCATTCTCGGTCTCGAACTTTTCCACGGCTGTAAAATCTTCGGTGTTCTTCTTATTGGCATCCACACCCAGTTCCTCGACTAGGCAGCGCGCAATGTCGCTGTCCTCGACCACAAATAGACATGTCTCGTTATCTTCATCAAGGAGGTTGACATCGACGTTGAATTCTTTGACTAGAGCACGTAGGAGGTCGATATGACCGTAGGAGGCTGCGGCGTGCAGCAGTGAGTATCCAGACTCATCTTGGCTGGATGCGATCGAGGGGTTGGATCGCAGCAGGGCCAGCAGGGCCGTTGGGTTGTCGCAGGCCAGAAGGTAAGGATTTTGGGCCATTATGAGTTAGAAGCATTAACTAAAAAAAAAGCGAAACTTGTAAAGATGAAGCGAGTCAAAACCAAGTTGTGGTTCAGGTCAACGAAGTCACAACAGAAAAAAAAATACCCGCCTTTCCCCTTTGGCTCCCCGCACTGTGACACATTTGGTCAGACTCTTCCATCTTCGGAGGTCTTTTCAGTTTTGGTCATTTGATTTTTTGATCGGCTTCATCTTTCTACAAAGATCTCGAGAACACCCTAACGCAGGAGGTCAGGAGATTTCACCGTGCCCTTTCTCTTTCCCCCACTTGTCTGCCCCTCCTCTCCGTTCTCTCCCGCAGATCTCTCTGATATGCCCAACACTCAAAACATGGCGACTCAAGATCCCCAAGTCATCTCACAGCTGGTAAAAGTACTGGAGACTGCTAGCAAGGCCAAAAAGGGAGAGACAAAATTTACTTGCAAAAAGAGCAGCTTTGTGCTGGCCAATAATGTGTCCGTGGACTCGTGGAAGTTCCAGGACTGGGACTACAAGCAGGCCGGTCTACCCACTTATGCACGAGGTCTGTTTACCACCAAACGAAGAGACAATGTTCCTGAAATCGCGACGCGCGGATACGACAAGTTCTTCAACATAGGCGAGACAAAGGCCACAGAATGGCGCAACATCGAGAAAAACACAAGAGGTCCCTACGAGCTGAGTGTGAAGGAGAATGGATGCATTATTTTCATTTCTGCTCTAGAGGACGACACATTGCTAGTCTGCAGCAAACACTCCACAGGACCTCGCGAAGATACGCAAGTCAGCCACGCGCAGGCAGGAGAACGCTGGACGGAACGCCATGTCTCGTCCGTAAACCGATCTGTCAGGGACCTTGCCAGGACCCTGCGCCAGATGAATGTTACAGCCGTTGGAGAACTATGTGACGACACATTTGAGGAGCATGTCCTGGCCTACGACGAAGCTTCTTCGGGCATTTACCTCCACGGTCTTAACTACAACCAGTCTGACTTCAGAACGGTTTCTTGTGAGGAGGTGCACAAGTTCGCTGACGATTGGGGCTTCAAAAAGGCCAAATTCGAAGTTTTTGATGATATCTTCAGAGTACAGAGCTTCCTAGAAGGATGCGCGGAGACCGGCATGTGGGATGGACGTGAGACCGAGGGCTTTGTCATCCGATGCCAGCTCAGCGACAACGGAACTGAGCCTTATCGGAATTGGTTCTTCAAGTACAAGTTTGAAGAGCCGTACTTGATGTACCGCCAGTGGCGTGAGTGCACCAAAGCTGTAATCGGAGGGACACATCCCAAGATCAGGAAGCATGAGCAGATCACCGAAGAATACTTGCAGTTTGCTCGACGTGCTCTGATGAAGAACCCAGACATGGCAGCTGAGTATATGAAGAACCACGGTATCATCGCTTTGCGGGAAGAGTTCCTCAAGGAACGAGGATTGAATGGAGCGGAGATCATCGCCCTTGAGGCTAAAAAGGAGAGCGAATCGAAGGAAATCAATAAAAATCTCATCATCGAACCGGTTGCCTCGCTAGGATGTGGAAAGACAACAATCGCCTTGGCTCTTGTTAAGCTCTTCGGATGGGCACATGTTCAGAACGACAACCTCCCCAAACAGAAGAACAAGTCAAAGAAGTTCGCTTTCGAGGTCAGCCATGCTCTGGGAGAGCACAATGTTGTCATCGCCGATCGCAACAACCATCAACGGCGTGAACGCAGGCAGCTCATGGAGGACATCTACCCCGTGCTTCCAGATGCGCAGTTTGTCGCTTTGCACTACGTCCACGAGCCCAAGGCAGAAATGCTTCCCGCTATTCGGGAAGTCACTCGAAAGCGTGTGCTAGAGCGTGGGGACAACCACCAGTCCATCAGGGCTAGCACTAACGCTCAGCAAGAGACCGTCGGAATCATGGAAGGATTCCTCGGCCGCTTCGAGGGCGTCGATACCACTCGCTTGCCAGACGAGGCGTTCAACCATGTCATTGACCTTGACGTGTGCGCCTCGTCTCGTGAAAACCTCGAGACCATCGTCAAAGCCCTACACGTCGCCTACCCCCGCTTAGTGCCAACCTTGCCAACGGCAGCAGAACTTGATGAGGCCATCGATGCCTCTCTAAATGACTACACCGTGACAAAAGATCTCAGCTACAGCTATGGAGCACCACAGAAGCCAAAGGTCAAGAAATCGAAAAACCAAGACAACGGCCCCCTCCTCCCCGATCCAACACAGTTGCCATTCTCCCCGGAATCCCTCGCCAAAAAGATCGAATACTTCAACATATCCCTCCCAACAACCGAAATAACCTCAATCCTGCACTCCCTCTTCCCACCAACAACGTCCCCAGAAACAGCCCGTCTCTACAACCACCTCAGAAACTCTCGCCGTCTCCAGCCAACCTTCCACGTAACTCTCATCCACCGTGCCTCAAAGAAAGATAACCAGGACACCTGGGATCAGCTAGCAACCCGCTATATCGACAGCCAGACCAAAAATCCCGTGGAATACTCAGCCCAGAACCCGCCAACCCTGGGCTCCGCCCGTGTGCGCATCGAGCGTCTCATCTGGGACGACCGCGTCATGGCCTTTGTTGTGCGCATTCTGCCCGCTGAGGGTGTCGAGACGGCTGAGTCTGAGTGGCCATGCGCGAATCCTATCCCGCATATCACGGTCGGCACAGCGGCGCCAGATGTTAAGCCGAAGGAGAGTAATGATCTGCTGCAGCGGTGGGTTGCAGTTGGGTCTGGTGGCGACACGGGGATCTTTGAGGCCGAAATTGAGGGTGTCAAGGTTGTCGATGGTGTTGTTGGATTAGTGATGAGTCGGGGGAAGTATTGAAGTGTTTTTCTTTTGATGTGAATGATTGAGAAGATGGAAAGGAGTGGTGTGTTGAATCTGCTCTAATTCTTTAATTGTGCTGCCTTCGACTATGACTATGACCATGATTTTTTCACAAACCGGCTTAATGGTGCTGTTTGCAGTACATTGCATGTAGAATATCTGCGTGTTCCCAATTATTATTCGTTAAATTATCCGTTGAGCTAGCTGTGAGATTGAATGCAATGTTACTATTCATAACCAGAAACTGCGTAGCCCCTTCTGTAGCCTATGAGAATAGCCATATACTATCGGCCTGTCGGGGTCAAGTCACTCCACACCGGGCCCGCTGATTCCTACAACAGCCCCATCGGAGAACGCCTTGCAAATTTCTGGGGGCCCTTTCGTATCTCGTCTTCGGATCTGAATGTCCCAAACCGTTGGCAATTCACGACGAACCCGTGAGATTCGTTGTGTGATGACACCTCCAGCCGGCCTCCAGGGTGAAACTTGCTATTGGGCCAGGGCTAGGCTTGCCTAGAAGGCATACTCTATTGGCGTGCTCCATTTCGACCAGTGAGAGAAAATTACCAAAGAGTGAGCACGGAAACAGATAAAAAATTCCATCAAGCGTGGCCGGGAATCAGAGGTATAAGTAGACTACGAACGGTGGCACTGGCTGGATATAAAAAGCGTTTTATGTCCAGCTCTGACATTAAAACTCCATTCTATTGCTCACCCTTCGCCTATCTTTGATTACTGCGCGGGTTGGGGACCTCAAGTGTGCTCTTTCGACAGTAACTATTCCATCATTAACCCGGTGAAGACATTATGTACCTTCTTAGTTTATACTATATGACATGATCATTTCATAATAGCTAGAAAGAGTGGGTTCTAAATGGGCCATGCTACTACCCAGTCACGAAAAAGAGGGACGTTAAATGGATCAGATTTCTGTAGTTTCAGGTCTATCTATCATGTTGGTACAATTGGTAGCTGCGTAATTTTGAAGCTCACCTTTAAAAGCATTTGCTAACGATAGAATCAAGTTGATTCATCTTGTCTTCATACACTTTCCCAAACGCCTTTATCTCAGTGCTTTCCATCTTGCGCCGAGATGCAGCCAGAGTATCGTATTTAAAGGCTGCCAAGGATTCATCACTAATCTCACCAACCTCAGAACCAGCGTCAAAGCCCAATAGCATACCAAGTATTGCCACCGGAGCACTCTCAGGGTTCTGGATCACACTGTAGACATCCGAACCTTCATCTACAATGGTCCCCGTCAAAGCAAGTAATGCATCAAAGCCTTCGATGAGATCCCCAAGCCCTGAGAGCGGGCCAAGGAAAGGAAGAATCATAAAGATACCACCAATAATCTTCAGGATTCGTTCTGTCCTTTCTTCAGCGGCAATCTTCCGACCGATATAGACAACATTGTAGATGCGATCGACTAGCTCACTTAGCACAAAGACAGCAGTAGATGTGGTCTGAACAACATCGTCGATCACGCCTTGAAAGCTTCCGGACGCGATAGCAAGCTGAGTGAGAGAGATCGATAGTTGGAGGTTGGGGATATTTGGCAAAGCCTTTCTCATGATTTCACGAGGGTCAGTGAAATTGATTTCCTGTGCAGGAATGGGAAATCCCTGCCACCATAAGTATTCGTATGTAGAATGCAGATTCAACCTGCATTCAGGCCTTTTGCCATAGTAAGGCCCAGTTGAGCTGCCCGGGAAAAATCCACCATCGAGTGTTACCCAGTCTGGTTCCACGCCAGCATTTTCAGTTAGACTTGTATAGAAGCCTTCTGGGTCCACGAGATCGAAGTAGACGATGTGGAGTTGGGCCACTGTATAGGAATCCTCATCAGGACAGCTGGTCGCTGTGCCATTTATGCCTCCCAAGCTACGCGTGCATGTGAAATATCGATTGCCCAAGCCCTTGGGATCGAATGGAACCGTGCTGTCGTTCATGAAATACATGAGCTGAGGTTCAACCTGTGCTTTCATGTACTTTGAGTACTCAATGAAGTCTTCGTCGTAGTTGTTTGTGTGGGCAATGTTTGTGTAGTTGGCCAAAGTAGTCTCCAACTCCCCATAAAGTGCACCCAGCACATAGAAGTCGATGCAGTAAGGATCCAAGTTGTCAATGTCTGCTTCCAGTGCATCGAGAGAGGAGTAGTTGATGCTGAAATCACAAGGGAAAGTGCCGGCCCACTCCGCACTGTCATCGTCCGCATCTCCACAAGGATCATCTTCCGGGGTCGCGTCTAGGCATACCGACAAAGGACAATAGTTTCTGGTACAGCAAAGCTGCAAAGACCGTTGTCATCGATATCTGGCGCCCAGCCAACAACAGAGGTGTTCTGGGTAGGAGGCTTGATCAAGGGACCCGTAGCAGTACAGGTACAATTGTAAATGGGGCAATAGCCATAGTTGCAGCCAAAGCTGCATAGACCAGTAAATTCATCCCCTCCAGTGCCCGCAACACATGTATCAGGGGTGGAGGGAGAGACTGTCGGAACTGTCAGTGGAACTGACACAGTCCCGCAGGCAGTTGAAGGGCAGTAGCCATATTCACAGGTGAATGAACACAAACCGGCATAGTTGGCGCTTTCGCCTGCGGCTGGATATCCAACGGTGCCTGTAGATTTGGGTAATGTTGGCTGAGGCCCCAGCTTGGAGCACACGTACGCCCCAACGGGACAGTATCCCAAGCTGCTGGAAAATCCACAAAGCCCGTTGAAATCCCTCATGCACCATCCCTCAATGCAGACCTCCTTTTCAAGGTCAGGGGAGGTTCCACTGGGGGAGTTTCCCCAGATTGACCGGAAAAAGAGACGCTTCCATGGTAAACACCAACATTGCCGCTAGGGGTGTTGGTCCAGGTTGCGTCTAGGCTTACGCCATCCAAAGTCACAGAGATCTCTCCAGGCTGTGACAAAAGGGTAGAATAGAAGATCTTGTTTTGCATCACATCCTTGGGCCAATATTCCAGCTGCAGCTGCGAGACGGTATCAGCGGTTGTGCCACCATCAGCGCATGCACCCGCCTCATTTAGACGATACCATGCCACAAGACCCTCGTTCCCTGAGGTAGAATTGCCGAATTTATAGAGATCAATCAGGTATGGCAAAAAATTGTCTCCAGCCACTATGGTCAAAACTTTGGGCATAGTTGTAAGGGGCACGACCTGTTTGGAATGCCGTGTACATTGACTCGGCCAGTGGGTTGTGGATATCAACAATGGGACCGATATAGTGACTCTCACCAAAGTCGTTCCAAGAAATGGATTTCGATAAATTCTGGGACAAGGTAGAGCGCTTGCTCCCACCGCGTATACCAAAGATCATCGCCACGCCAGACCCAGTTCTTATCGTACCCAGGCATGTTTGTGAAGAACCATGGTGAAATTGGCATCATGTAGGGTTTCTTGTCCAGGTATTGCATGTCAGAAGCGTCAACGTAGGTGTTCATATCATTGGGTCCATTTGGCCACGCAGCCCAGCTAAACAGCCCATCTGCAACGCCATCTCCCAAGGCCATGGCAGGCTTTGCCCCAACTGAGGACCAATCTGGAACAAAGAAGAGCGACGTCTCTGATTTGATATACACCCAGTCATCGGCATGGTCGGGTCCCTCAAATGTCGAGACTAACGGATCTGCGCCATGGAGGTAGTAGGCGTCGTCGGAGACGTATTGCTTCAAGAGATCCAGCACGTCGTCTTTGTCCCATGCTCCATTTCCCGCATAATCGAACGAGAAGAAAAGGGAGAATTTGAGGTTTTGAGCCGCCAAAAAAGCATTGGGCATGGAAGTGGAGGTGGTGTCTTCTCCGGTTGCGATATTCAACGCGAATGCGTCAATGTGAGCATCCTGCGCGAGCTGAATCTCATTTTCCCAGTCCGAAACTTCATATCCGGCAGTATTTGAAACCATGAAATGAGCGAACACAGCACGGGAGTACACTTGGGGGTAGAGCTGGCATGACAGTAGAAGAATGTAGCGCCACCATAGGAATGAGGAAGACATGTTGCCAATGTGTGGAACGAGTCCAAACAGAGTTCAAATTATAAAAGACAACGAGAGCAAGCTTCCCAGGAATGGCTCTGACTTATAGAGAAGGTACAAGAGAAGAAAAGGAGCACAACTGACTAGGGGATCAAGATTTGGGTGTTATCTTTTCATTAACACTTATAGTGCTCTACCAGTAGTGGCCCCAGACGCTTTGCTAGACTAGTTTCTCACCGGAATAAACTCTGAATAGGCTGAGAGATTTGCCAGTGGTTTTTTTTTAATGATTTTAATTCTCTGCAAGTGAAATTTTTCCAAATCCCTTGGCTACAACACTTTATATATATACACTTGTGGGATTCACCCACCTCCACCCAGTTTTTTGGCTAAAAAGATAGCGTAGGGTATAATTTTGTATTTTATGCTACGAATTGGCTGATCCAAATTTCCCTGCCAAATGTGAAGAGAGCAATCGACGGAATTCGACCAGTTGATAGAATACAAAATATACAGGTCCAAAACTACAGACGATGGGTGGTTTGGGAATATTGCCCCGTGCCACACGAGATAGTGGACGAACACTACGGGTACAGAATTATGTGCAAAAATGCATACAACATAAATCATTATTGAGTACTCCGTTAAGTAGATGGCTATTTTGTCATAGTAGGGAATCATAGCTTGGGTCGATTTTATCCTGTTTCACTAATTATTGGATCTAGATTGCACACAGTCAATCCTGATCCTTGTCTTCCCAATTTCCGAGGTAATATAACTCATAGAACTAGAACAGACACAAGATAGGTGTTGGGCTAGCGAGCCCCTCTATATATGGTGGAAATGGGCTGAATAATGTCTCAGGTTTTGCGCGCGAATTGAGGCTAAGGCTTAGTGCGCTTAGTAGCGTAGAAATCCCAATACCAACTCCTTACACTCCACTCTGTAGATCTCAAACAATTCTAATTTCTCGTCGCTCTCCTTTCTCCTGCTCCGACCTATTCAAATCTGACAGGCACCGCTCCTTTGCTGGTGATCTACTTGTACACACCATTTAACCTGTATTTGCAGTGCAATCATACAACTTATTACCGTGAGCTTAGCTTCGGGTTTCACCTTTTTCCCCCTATCAATTGATTTCGCATTCCACCCTTCGCTCTATCAACATGAAGGCATTCAAGCTTCTCCTCTTCATTTTTTTGTCACTTTTCAATCATGGACAAGGATCCAAGCTCGCTGCCCCCAGCGAGATGCTCGCCATGTACAATGCATACGCTTTGGATTTTCTTAAGAATGGAGCAACACGTACTCTGGGACCGAACCTTGAAAATGAGGCCTTGGTAGACTTTGGGACCTTTGTATCACACATCTACACAGAAGCAAAGTTTCCTCGAGATGGAGTTTTCTTGAGCCAAACCCCAGAGTACAGCCAGGATACATTGGGCCAAATTGTTTCATGGGAAAAAAAAACAAGTACGTCACAAAAAGTCTGTTTCGCGACGTGGATCCTTTGCCGAAAACGCATCTCTTGGTGCTGGACAGACTCAGTGATGTCGTTAAATCGACACGAGGTAGCACCGCCCCGGGCTTCTCGGAGGCGTGGAAAACTCATGTTCCCGAGTTCAAGCGAGCTTTAGCAGGCACACAAGGTGCGCGGCTAAGTGAAATGTTCTCAGTCGGACTGAAGCCATTGTTTGAGGAGAAATATCCTGGAACGACTATGAGGACCTCGTCATTTCCTGTATTGGACACAGATGTTTCATACACTTACGAGAACTGGGGATTGACTTTGAACCACAATGAAAATCCAGCAGCTATTGCTGAGGAGTACAAAACCTGGTACGTTGGTCTTCGGACGAGCACACAGGTCGGTGCGAAGTCTTACATATCCCATCAAAAGATTACCTCCACAATTGGTCGGAGCTTGACTGAGTTGGGCAGCTTGGATAGCTGTGATTAGAAGATCTTGCAGACGGGGTATGTTTTGGGTGGCATCTGAACTGGTGGTGTCTTTGACATCCATGTATGATTAGAAGTTGTCTACTATGCAGTTTTGAATTGATATCTACATGCTACTTTTCCACCACGCTCAAGTTAGTAGTACAAGATTCCGCAAAAGCATAATCTGTCAAATGACAGAAGCACTCTGGAGCTGGATGTGGCTTGTTTTCGAATTGGATCAGAAGATTTTGTTTGTTTTTCATGTGTAGTTCCTCCATAGCAACTGCGTCGTTTTTTAAGCTGCTGGCATCTTTTTTTGGAGTCCAGCTGTATTCAAATAAGGAAATCTTCGGAATGTGTGTGCCGCATATGTCCTCTTTCAAGAAAATCTTTGCTAATTTTGTCTCTCTCCTGCCTCATTTGGTTTCGAACCTCAGCCGCCTGCGCAAATGTCATGGAATCATCCTTTCATGCGTCGACCCAGCTTGAGTCCTGGGGAGGCACGTTCTGAGTTGAGCAGATTCGATAATGCGGGTCCCCCAACCACAAAGTCGCAAATCGAAGGTACCCCGGCCGGGATGGGTCTGCAAGACTGAAAGGTTCGGCCTTAGACCGCACTGTATTTGGCCAAGCAAGAATCTGCCCATTCCGTGAAATCGGGATAGATCCCACGATCTGTAGAGCATCCGGGGAACAAGCATCATCGCTGGCGCATTCACACTCAGGAACGTCAAAAAGTCGATTCATAGCCATAGATTCCGCGATATTGAACATAAGGCTGTCGATTTTTGTCTCCTGTTGGAATGAAATCTTTGCATCTTTAATGTTGTGCATATCAATGTAGCATGTGGCTGTAGAAACGATGTGCTCATTGGGGATACCAGCAACGTTGTGATGGGAATCACCACCATACAGGGGCATTTCTGGAGTGAGATCAATAGTCGATAGTCGAACTATGATCTGCAGGCCCTCAAATTGATCGTGGAGAGATATAGAATAGTACTGGTGATCTGGATCTGGAGGTGGGGGAGTTTCATCAGGTTCACTACATTTGGGCATGATCGCGCGGCCCGTATTTTCACCCGTCTTCCATTCTTCGTATGTGAAGGAAATCCCCGGCTCAACACCTCTCACAGTGTACAACCGCTGATCTTTTTCAAGAATCAGTTTTTCCAGTTCTTCCGAAGAATTCCATTGCCATGGCTGCATGCTAGCGAGAAGATCATGGTACCCAGAGTCAAGCCATATGCGGTATCGCTTCTCGGGCTCAGGGATACCAAGGTACTCTCTAACTTGTGATCGAACGTCAGGCCATTCTTCTTCTGTAATTGGTGTTGTTCGTCCCTCCCTCGCATTATTCAGGTAATAATACAACTTGGGATACCAATCACTGCCTTCCACTTGGAAGTCATAAGTTCTGATTCGAATTGGTGTCCGACCCTGATCTCCAAGGATAAGCATTTCGTTCCAAGGTTGCATGGCGGCCGAAATGAGGTCTTCGAGTGCTTTGTAAATTCCCTTTTCTTTCGGATGCACGCCGTTGATATAGGACAAAATTTTGGCTTCTCCTTGCTTGTTCAAAGCAACTTCACAAGGAAGACATTGAAAGGCATTGGACCAGTATTTATACTTTCTAAAATTCCTGGAATCCCTAGAGTCTCTTTCCTTTCTCTCTTTGAAATGCATCTCTTCGTGTCTGTCGGATGGTTTCTCGGGAATTGGAGCAATCTGGGACTGACATGGTCTCCAGGACTCCGGTCTCTCCAGATCAACTTTGCCCCCCCATCGGCAAGGACTCGAGTGCGCCCATAAACGAGAGGGTACATAAGGGGTCAACCACATGTCTAACCGCAGTCTCGGAATCACTTCTAGAAGCATCATCCGAGGCAGAAGGCGAAGCGGGTCTCGATTCCGAAAAAAGCGGCGACATGGATGCGCGAAGCTCTTCGAGAAGATTCTCATGGACTTGAGATTTGATAACCCGTGAGTCCGCATCAAACACAGCAACATAGCCCGTGCGTTCAAAATCAGACGCTTTGTCTTGCAACTCCTTCACACACCACTGCCATGAGGATTCATCGAGATCAAAGACGGAATTGGCGTGCTGATGCCATTCTTCCAGTGTATGCGGGTCCTCTGTCTTGTTTTCCCAGTCTGGCTGTTCAGTGACATACGACATGAACTGCAGCATGCAAAGCTCTTGTAGAAAGAACTGAGGAATTTGTCTCCAATCAGCAATTCCATGTGCAAAGCGAGCGTCTTTTGGCTGCTCATAGGCCAGGTGTACGCCATTGAAACCAGGAACACGCAAGGGGCCAGCGCCACTGTTGTCTAGTTTAATAGGTGAGGGGTCCAATTTGATCATTCCCAAGTGGCAGCGAGATGAAGAGAAGGGGACTTGGGTTCTACCGCGACCAGGGAGTCGGGGATGAAAGTGAAGCCGTTGGAGGATGGCTACCATTGATTAATGGTGATGTGCATCAATTTGAGGATGCTGTCATGAGAGGTGAGAAGCAGCAAGAATGAGAGACAGTGAGAGCTGTAAATTTTCAAGCCTAGGATCGAGTGATTGTGCCAAGGGAATGGTGATTTTTGATACAGGGCGTGTACGGAAATCTCGGGATCTCCGGCGGGCGCTAAGCGTGTCCAGGGCTTGTTTAGCTCGGTGAGAAACACCATAGCTTCATCACCCACGGAGTTCCGGAAATTGGAGAAGGTAGGTCCCACCTACAGTAGATCCTCTCTGAATTTCTGTTGTGATGAGGTCTTGCACAACCTACGTTTTAAAGCGTACTTTGTTTTTCAACTTCCCTACGCTGATTCACTATACGCTCGGATTAAGAAATAAGGATCATCTACAATGCTATCTAAAGATCCAAAAGGTTACTACCGGGAGTAAACTGTTGATTCTTGGTTGTAGTAAATTAATGTGCGTGTTAAGTGAAAGCGAAGAAAGATAAGGAGTCGAAAAATCCAAACCCCGGTGCGAAGGCCTGGAAATACCGAAATCATAGACTGCTTTCGCCCCCACTCTATATCAGGTGCAATGAATTGAGAGCTTAGGGTATGTTGTACTCCGTATAGACTGTCTAAATCTCTCATTTCCTCCAAATTAAAGCTAATTCCACCCCACAAATCCTGACAAGATAGTTTCTTCGAGTTCCTAATATCAAGAAATTATCCCCGACTGCACAAAATCCCTATTTATGTAAACTTCCTCGAGGGGAACTTCGAGCGGTGGCCAGAGCAAGCGTATAGGAGTGGTAGAGGGGAGGTGAAAGAAGGAGGGATCATTACATAGTGGAATCGCTTTTACCGGCAGGAAAAAGGGAAAATCTAGGGTTGATGTACTCCGTACGGAGTAGTAGGAACAGCTTCATTCTTTTCAAGGTAGATACTCGCTTGATAAGCCATCCATCATCGGAGAATACCATGCAGGTATTTTTAATTTCCACGAGTCCAAAAGGAAGACATATATAATTCAGGCATTTGTCCTTTTAGCCGCTCTGCCCCCTTCGCACTTGATCAAAATGGCGCTAAGGAGACAAAACTGGTCCTAATTCTGTAATTTCGAAACTCACTGTCGACGGAGTAGTGTAGTTACTGTCGGTGGGACCTATGTCTTCTGGATATTGGCCACGATCTTTGAGAGTGACATAGAAAAAAAAAGGAACCCGGAAATTGCCCGACAAAACACAATCATCAGTCCCATGTTTGTGTCTTCCAAATCCACACCTATAAAAAGTGATTGGAATAATTCACTTTCACTTGCGATTCCCCGATCAAGCAACATTCAGAGCTGCCTTGAACCATGCAATCAACTTCGATTCTTATTTTCACCTTTCTCCTGGTTATAGAGGGGTTCCTTTCTTCTGTGTCCGCCACTTGCTTCCCCAGCGCCCAGGATGAAACCATTGGGTTCTTCAGTAAAGCACCTCTGGCCTACCGATACACTCATTTAACACCATCTGAATGTGCTAATGAATGCGACAGCTTGAGTACCTGCCAAGCTTGGCTTTTTATCATCAATGCGAAGGAATGCCAGTTATATCATATCGTTCACCTCCCGTGGCGCAGGCAAAGAGTGCAGGTTTCATTCTGGGATCGTGTGATACAAATGGCACCCGAGTAACGGAATCGACATCAAAAGTGCCTCAACCGGCTTTGTCCTCCTCTGTGGTACCCGGTTCGCAGACGGCCGAGTCCTCTCCATTCAAGGTAAGACCTCCCCATCTGCTAACACGAACCTCTCTTTGGGGATTTGTTCCTAACACGCAATCCAGATCCCAGGACATGCAACCCATTTGAACCAACACAAGCGTGGCCATCATCACCTTCATCATCGACACGACTAGCGAGATCACAGTGAGCGATGCGTTCCGCTTCCATGATGATGAGGTGATGCTGACCCCGGGGTGCGCAAGTTTTGTGCTGATGCAACGCACAAGAGCAGGCGCTCGGTTTTAACCTGGCGAGCAGAAAGCGGCAAGGGGGTGATTATTAAAATGGAAAGGGAAAGCCATGTTGTTGGCCTAGAATCCGGTGCACATGTACTGGTAGCCTACAAGTTCCCTTTTTGTCCGAGATCAGTGTATAATATTGTACTGCCAAGAAACCCAGGCTGGGCGCCAACATAAGTGTATGGCAGCATAACGAAGGCAAAACGCCCAACAACTGTAGTTCTGGCTAGATACATAACACACAACGAAGATCCCAAACAGCGCCTTAGATCGAAGTAACCACGAGCACACCATGCGATTGATTCGAGGTCAGATAAAGCTCGGGGTTTCAGAAACGAGCAAATGAACAAATCAACCACTAATCCAAGCGGTAACACGCGATGCTCCAAAACGGCTCACGTACTGCAGACCGGTGCTGCCCATGGGAAAATAGCTGACGAGGTACCAGACGAGGGCAGCAAGCTGGAAGATCGAGGAGATGAGAGTGAGGAAGAGGTTCTGACGCTAGAATGCACGAAAAAAAGGAAGTCGGTCAGCAAGAGGTTTCTAGAAGAGGATGTGTTGCCCAATGTGACAAGTGGAAGTGAAATGAATGTTAGATGCAGGTAGAACAAGATGACCGAGCCGACAGGATCAGTGAGACAGAGATTGATCTCGATGGCTCTGGACTCCGCGCTCTGTGACACCGGGATGTGGCAGACAAGGAGAAGTAAAGGAAATAGCATCCAAGTCCCGCGCCGTGGTGGTACGTGACACAGACGCAAGATTCAGAGCGGAGAGGCCGGCCGAATACAGGGTGGGATGGAATCGAAGGAGTCAAATTGGCTGCAGCCAACAGCAGGCATGACAAGCCGTGGTTTCAGGTTGTACTGCACGATGGATTTGAAGGCTGCAAGATACCCCTTTCCCCGGTCGTGCAGTGCGACCATATGAACGCGGGTAGAGCGAGGGAGAGCGAGTGTGTGACAACCAGGGAATTTCAGAGAGGAGCGTCATGAAGAGGGGAGGGATCGTCGGAGTGCAATGGGACGACGCGCAAAGACCACACACAAGATTAAAATCCGAAAGCAAAAACGAAACACAAAGAAAAACAAACAAATCCATCTTACGTACCCCGATGGCGAAGTATAGCGTGAGAGCGATCGCTCCGAAATAGGCCGCTGTGAATGGCAACCGTGTTCCGGACACCAAATGTTTAGCGTAAGTCCACGGTCCCATGAGAACAGCCCATGATAGCAAAAATAAGACCGAGCCGACGGACCATCTAGTGGAAACCTGTTAGCAAGCGAGATCCAAGACCGGAGATGAGGCATCTTGGCATGAGATGCAGATAGAGGTCAAGATCAGGGCCAATCAGCTTGCAGTGTGAAGGGCAAGAGCGCACATGGCCTTAGCCAAATTTGACCGATGACCTGGTCTATCCCAGCTCGGGATACGCTCAGTCGCCCGAGAACATGAGATAGCTAGAATTTTAAATTTTTTTTTTTACAAAAAAAAAATTTAAATTTGAGAGACGCAAGGCTGGGAAGGCCACATAGAAAGCCGGGGAACAAAGCCCACATTACGCGGACCATCGCGGAGGCAACTTACAAGACTGCGAATTTGCGGGGCTTGAGCGACAAAACAGGAAACAAGAAGAAACAGATCATGAAACAGATAGCGGCGCCCAAGTTACATGCGCCAAATATGAGCATGCGGTCCCAGCGACTCACTACAGGTAATCCGTGTTAGTGTCTTTCTTCTATCCGCTCGCAACCATATAAACAAGCGTGGTGGTAACAAATCCTCCCGGCGCAGGAACTGCAGTCTCATCACCTGGACCAAACAATGGTGTACAGGAGGATCTGGGGATAGGAGGGTCACAAGACAGAAAAAACACTTACAGGCAAAGAAGCCCTCTTCTTCTTCCCGCCGAGTGGCTGCCGGCAATGGAGCCCCAGGACCTTCATTGTGAGTAGGCAGTTGGACATAACCGCCTTCACCGAATGGGTTATAAGACTGTAGACGGGATAAGAATGGGATGTTCGATGATGTGCCGGTGTTGACGGGGAGATCCGGATCCCTACGCGACCACCCTAGTGAGTTGACAGAGTCTCGGAACGAGTTATTCGCCATGTTTGAGACTAGTTTTTGTTAAGTTTTAGGCCCCGAATGAAACGAGGAGAAGAGGGGCGTGCACTACTGCGTCTGCAGAGAAGGCCCGTGGTCTAGGAAAGAAAGACCAAGAAAACGATCTGCAGGGACTATCGGAGATGGAGTGCAGATGATCTGCGCCGGGTGGTGGATGATCCTTGAGGATTAGCTAGAAGTGGTGATTTAGTCAAGCCAACAGAGGAGCAGATGACAACTGTGTCGAACGTGAATTCGGCTTCCGACGAGCTGGGACACGTCGTGGCTCGGTTCAAATGGGGTGCCACTTTCGAGGGAAGTTGTCCGACTCGACGATATGCAGTCAAGATCGAAAGATCAAAGATTGTGGATATGGCAGGCTGATAAAGTAAATTTTATGAAAAACCTCCCCGATCAAGAAAAGGGCTGTCTATTGCACTGTGGTAAGGCGTCAGCGTAACGGGATCAATGGCTATCACTGTGGAGTCGGCGATGACTACCGGTGTAGCTTGAGAGTCCTCGGGTGCGGCGCAGGCGTATCGTGATCGAGAGCGCAATAATACGGGAGATAATCCAACCAAGTTGAAGGTAGGTGGGAAGCGTTGGACCTCGCGAGCACGATCCGAGAAGGGATGGGAAGCGACCACGGCGTAGGAGATCGGCTGGTACTGATTGGATAAGGAAGCGCTGCGCTATTGATAACGGAAGGTAGTAAGATGAGGAGAACCTGGCAAAATGACGAGATGGCGTGAAGCTACCGATGCGACCAACCCGATTGGCGTCAAGTACTGAAACTGTCAGATGATGATGGGTTCCAGTGTTAGGGTACAAAGCTTCGGACCGAGCCCTGTGGGGTCATTGACCAGGATGATCCCCCATAGAAAGATGACTTGAAAACCGAAAGAGACACAAGTCACTTACCAAGAGGGTGTAATGTTGCCTAGGTGGTGTGGAGAGATATGGTTGTATAGTGGCAGTTCCCAGATCAGCAATGAAGTTGGGGAAAGGAGGCTAATTCCAAATTAGGCATAGTGCAACATGAACATGTAGCATTGACCTAGGAAGTATACAACTAACCCACCTATAAGCAACTTCACACATCATGTTCTTTGTTTTCTAGACTCTCGATTCGGTTTCATATTTTTAAAAATTGTTATTTATTCGATTTAATTTAAACACAAATCCCCATTGTCTGTCTTTCTTCCCTATGCGCTATACCCGCGCGAATTTGTCAAACTTCAAATCCCTAAAGATAGAACTAAAATTTCCTATAGGTTCTACTTGCATATTGAATCAAATCAACCAGCTTTAAAAGGGGGTTCCACATGACTGACTAGTCTGTTAACTTGCAATTTAACAATCGTCTATATTTCAATATAATCAATCTGCATGCATGACCAATATAGATAATGCCCTTCTTTCTGCAACTTTCAATCGTTAGTTGCCGTCCCACTGTCAATCCTTCATGGCTGGTCCGCACCCTGTGGTGATTGGCCGTCACTGCAACTGCAAAGTGGCGGCCAGTTTTTTGTATTGGACAGCCTTGCAGAAGCATTTATCGACAACGGCAACAACGGCTTCAGTTGCCGTCAGTCGCATCGGAAAGACAACCAGACGATGTTGCATACCCATTCTCTAATTTTTTCTCTGTTGACTGTATTTTATGTAGCTACCCGTGTATCACCTAGGGGAAATATCCGATAACCATGAGGGCGCCAAAATGCACTCCGGACTGCACCGGTAACATTGGCACTAGCCTCATTGTTTCTCTACATTTGGCTTCTGCGTTTTCTTTTTCTGTGTCCCTTGTTTTTCTTGATTTTTAACATCGGCTTTACTATGTGGTACTAAACCGAATCTTTGATTCACACTAGTCGGTTTATCCGTCACCCCCGGAATGGAGTGCGACCTTAACCACGTACGATGTCGTCATGTCAGGCAGGGTCCTGGGCGCAGGTACTTCGAGTAAGACATAGATGGTGTCAACCTCTTAAAAATGATGAATCTTATAAAAGTAGATTTGGAAATACAACTTCTCTCTCCCTTATGTCAACCATGGATCACTGGGGGTGTTTCGCCGAACCTTGACGGGACGGGACGTCAGATCCATTTGCCCTCAAGACGAATCCCTAAGGTCCACCCCCATCCGTCAATCCCAGAATACTATCATCTCCTAATCCGGAGTGGCTCACAAAGAGGGGAAAGTTTGGTGATGTGGCTAAGCACATTCATACCAGATTGAGGTGTATTGCTTTGATTCACTATTGGTGGAGGGGTCTTGAGACACATTCTAACCCCTCCGATTGCCTCTCTCCACCGCATTCAACCATTCTGGTTCGTCTTGCTTCGGATCAAGACTGAACGGTTTATTCCGAAACCCGAAGTTGCCAACCGACTTGAACATTCTTAAAGGCTCCTAATATTGAACAGTGAACTCTAACATTGTTTCGTTTTGCCGCTGAAACCTAGATCAATAGCTCTGAGTCCGCCCCTTCTGCAGAACGAAAATAAACTAACGAGTAAACTCACCAAATGCGTAGTCGGAGCGGAGTAATTTGTGGAGGTCCAAGCTCCTTTGACGATCCCAGTGCGATATATTGTATGATCACCATCTAGACTCCTCTGCACAACATCCCACATGAAGAATAGACCACACTGATCCTCTTGCAGATTGATAGTGCTAGTGACTGGTCTGTAGGCTGCCGGTTTTTTTCTTTGCCTTTTTCTTTTTCCTTTTTATTTATCCCTTCATCACATATACTCTAGGATCCTCTCCAATCTTGCTTATCTCTAGTATTGCCAAGGTAATGAGAGTGTTGTGCTCTCCGGATGATATTTACGACTCGCTGTCATTTTTTCTTACTAGTCGATCTCTACCACCTCCGGTATTTCGAGGATTAGTAATCTACACAATTGATGGAGATCAACCTTGTCTACATGGTCTTGTTCAGGGATCTTGTACACATTCTGCAGACTTCCATGAGTGGTAGATTAGGGTTTCCTAGAAGATAGGTTTTGGTATGCTCGCAGCCCCAAGAGCTCATATGATACGATCTAGCTTGCTCTGTTCAAGACACCCGTGGGTCATGATCGTGGTAACAGGTGACAAATATCCCAAAGTGCATCATGGGATGGCCACCGTTTTACTTGATCCGGCTGTATCACCCTTCCCCCCATTCTCCAAGAGTGTTTTTTATTCTAGGTTACGATGAAGAAAATATTTTTCTCTCTCGTCCAGCAGAACTTGTTGGTGTTGTTATTATTATTAAATTTGTAGATGGTACGAAAATAGAAAAAAAAATAAAGAAGCTCGGGGGTTTACCCGTTGCCACCCTCCTTCACCCAAAATCCACTCACACCCATTTACACTCACACTCTCTTTTTCCCTTCTGATCTAAGTTGTGGTAGCCAATTTAATATTAAACCCCCTAAGAAAATGACAATGTTAATGTCCGATGGCGTAGGTGAATCTCATCGATTTCCACCGATCGACGGGCTGCATGACCGATGTTGCAATGTATCAAATGAGAGATGCAGGAGAGCACCGCTTGAGTTCATAAAGTCTCCATCCCCTCGGTGTCTGTCTGCGAAACCTGCAAGTGCTTTTAATCTCTGAGTTGTCACTGCATCCTTCGGTTCTCCAACTTTTGATTTGCAAAGGCTTTACATCCCGTCAGCTCCTAGTCAGACATACAGATCAAAGTATGTGTCAAGCCTCCCTCATATATCGCATCTTCGGTTTGTTCCTGCATCTGTGCTTTATGGCTGCCTGATTGCCAGGTCCCCACGTGTGAACGGGGCTCTTCTGGGTTCTTTAACATGTCTTGACCTGCATACTTATGTTGAGATGTCGGGTGATGCATATTGTTAATCCCTTGCTAACGTCAACACAGGTCGAAGTGTACTTACGTATACCAACTGCATATACACATCTTCACTTGGTATGTCTCCATGTATTTCACCTTTCGTCAGCCTCAAACCAAGCCCAACGTGTTTTTTTGTTTTGGGTATTGGGAAGTGAGCGCTTGCGCCAACTCGTATTCCGATTGCAATCTGAGCGTGGGCATCAAATCCCGAGTAAACGCCCAGGGAGCAAGGCTCAAGAGACGGGATTCCAACCAAATGTGGTAAATATCCAACTCCAGGAGAAGATGAAGGTGAACTATGAATCGCACGATCTATCTACGAAGCCAACGTTCTCGACAAAAACCCCAGATCGCCTCGTCTCACCGCCCTCCCACCGCTGATTCCCCCACTCTTCTCCAGACTTGTGTGTTTTGCATCTGCAAAAGACAACTGGGATCAACCATCTAACCGGGATATCAACTGGGATCAATCGAAACCACCTGGGATTGAGTGCCTGATTCGGGCTTGGTTTTTATTCCTGCTCGTTTCTGGTCTTTTGGTCTCTTATCTTCTAGATCCCTGGTCTTCTTTCATCTCTCGCATTTGCGCACCGCTCGGCTTTATTTCTTCATCGCTCTTTCATCACTTACCCAATTCTCTAGATCTCTTTTGTCACCGTTTAAATTGTGCCCTGCGACCACGATTGCATCAAGATACGTTTGTGGTGATCTGTACAGTCCTCCCCTCGATTGTCGACCCATCCCCGGCTTTAAGACCGAGGAAATTTCCCAAGCTTATTGGCACCGTCTCACAATCTCCCCGGACTTTAATTTTCCAATCCTCTGTCTTTCAAGGGTAATTATTTGCATTCCTCTTCCCGCTTCCATTCTGTTTTACCTTTAATTGGGTTGCCTGTTTTGCCTTGCGCACGGAGGCCACGGCATCTTCAAATCGCCTACGGGCGGGGTTGAGTCTTGACTAACATCGCTTCCTATACACACAGATCGTGAATTTCCCCACACCAAACACCTCTTTCGTCCTATTCAGTGTCAGCCCTCTTGGACCGCCTCTTAGACAACTGCCGCGGAGAGTCAGTAAGATCGGCACTACGACTCCTTCAGCTCCTCGCCGATCTGCGCCCCATCCACAACCCCGAATATTGTTTCACCGGGCTATGGCTGAAGCAAGTCTCTTCATCAAACACGAATCCGACGATTACGCCCCTTTCATCATGTCACACTCTGGTTACTCGATGGGTAATCAATTCCCCGATGGGGTTGACCCATCCGACTTGTCCATGCAGCAGCAGAATGGCTTCATGCCCTACTCCTATGGTTCGCAACAGAACATGTCATCCAGCTTCCACTTCGGAAACTCCGGCATCGACACAGACGAGTTGTTGGATCTCGAGATCAGCGGCCAGAACGGTCATCAACGCGATAATGTGAACTATCTCCAGGACCAGTCTGCTGGTGGTATTGCGATGAGTCACCAAAGTCAGATGTCGCATCTGTACTCCAACACCCCGGATAATGCTCCCATGGCTAGCCCGTTTGTTCAGAACAGCTTCAATTATGAGCAGTATCGCATGAACCAGCAAAATCCCCACATTCAGAATGCCAGCTCTTTCGACCAGAATTACCTCGGCGCCAAGCGCCAGAGCTTGCAAGGCATAGACCGTCCTTCATCCGACGGCCGTAGCCCCATGACCCCCAAAACACCGGCACTGGGTTCTTTGACATTGGGCACCCCTGAGTCTGGCAGCTTTCCCTCTCAGCCTATCCGGACCGGGCTGCAAGCCCGTCATTACAAGTCCCTGTCCAACCAGTGGGATGGAACACCTGGCAGTTCACAGTCGTATGTCGAGTCATCGCCTATCTCATCTCCTCCCCACCAACCACATCATGTCGGCATCTCCGAGATCCTCAAGTCTGGGAAGCACGCTTCGCTGCCCGCTAAGGTTGACGCCCATCTCCCTGGCGGTGATCTTGAATCCCAGGAAGCCAAGCGCCGGCGTCGCCGTGCCTCGCACAACCTAGTCGAACGCCGCCGACGCGACAACATCAATGAACGCATTCAGGATCTCTCCCACCTGGTTCCTCAGCACCGACTAGAAGACGACAAGGTCCGGAAGCAACTCGTGAACAGCAGCGCTCTTTCCATGGCCGGCGTAGGCGGAAGTGCTGCCACATCTCTTCTCGCTGGAGGCAACGGCCGCCGCGCGACGGCGGGTAACATCACAATGGGTCTCCCAATTGAAGAAAAGGAAAAGGGTCCCAACAAGGGCGACATTCTTAACGGTGCCGTCAGCTGGACTCGTGATCTGATGTGGGCTCTGCATGTCAAATACCAACAAGAAGCGGAACTCGCTGAGCTGATCAGCAGCATGGGTGGAACCTGGCCCTTCGAACAGACCGAAGAAGAGAAGCGCATGCGCAGCGAGATCCTCGATGCACTGGAGAGGAATGACCCGACTTCCTTCAGCTATACCCGCGGACCTGGTAGCGGTCTGCGCGTCCCCAAGCACACCAACATTGCCGGCGATGCCGTGCAGGGCGGCGACATGTCCGGCCTCACCCCTCCCAGCCTAAGTCCTTCGTTCCATAGCGGCACCAGCAGTGCCAACGGCGCTGGCCAGCCCCAGTACTGGAACAGTGCTGGCCATGCTGCTATGAGCTTCAAGGAGGAGGACGAGTATGGCATGGAGATGGGCTAGATGGCACGGTTTTTCGCCTTCTCTTATTTGGTCATTTGAGCTGACCTTTGCATACACGGCGTATTAATATGGGGATCGATCAGTCGGTGTACCAGGAGTCAAAAGACAACGGGTCCATGTTTTCTTTTTACCTCTTCGAGTTTTCATCTCTTGCGTTGTCATTACTTAATGCATTCATGTCAGTACGAGTAGTTCACTTCGCTTCTTTTCCCACCTTGCTTTTGTGCACTTTCTCTGGGGCTTGTGTGCTTATTTCGGCTTTACCCTGCTTTATCACTATTCCATATCGATACCCCGTCTATTTCCTTGATCTTTCTTTATCCTTGACTTGAGCTACGCTATTGGCCCCATCTTCGGGTGGTGGGCATGGGTTTGATCAGTTCTGCGCATGTCCTTCATATCTACTTGTCTCCACAACTTATATTTGGATCTTGAAATTTGATTCTTCGTCTCTTCACATCATTTTTATCATTTCAATCCATTCTCTGAATCTGTCTTTTTGGCATCTGTTGCACAGTGAACGTGATTGCATCTTCCCTAATGTCCCCTTTGCTTCTCCTGATGCCGAGTATCTATCAATCAACCCCTGACATCTGCAATCACACACCATCTGAGCATTTGCGGCGCAGGTAAATCGCAGCTGACGTAGACCCACAATGCTAGTCACACCTCAGGGACGATAGAGAACGATTCTCCACTCCAGTCTACGGGGCCATCACACCGCACAATCTTACATCGCACAATATGACATCTCTCCAGATTTGATTGCTAAACGCGACAGATATGACTAACCGGTCGTCCGTTTATTCCCCAAAAAACTACGGCTAGTACATCACTGCCAAGTTCTGTTCTCCTTTGCCGAGCTATATCAATACCATGATCTCCTGAGAAATGGGAGTTCCCATAGTACTAACAATAAACCCATGAAACCCCGCGACACGGGCCTGAGGTTCGAATCCGATCCACTCCGAGTAGAAACAAGCGAAACAAATGCTACAGTCGCAAAAGACGTAGAGCCCCACTTACTGCCATGAAGCCATCTAGCATAGCTTCATGTAGACACAAAACAAGCCCAGAAGACAAGGACTCCCCCCCCCCTTTTAGACAACCAACCAACACCTTGTCCCACTAGAAGCCATTCACCACGCAGCATGACCACCGTCAATGCGGAGATCACTCCCAGTCATGAAAGCACTAGCATTAGAAAGCAAAAAGACAGCCGCACCACGATACTCCCGCGGACGGGATAGACGGGCTAGCATATTCTCTTTAGCGAATTGCTCACGACGATCGGGATACTCGACGAACAACATCTCCAACATAGAGGTGAGAATGTAGCCGGGGGAGAGGGTGTTGACGCGAATGTTATGCTGGCCCCATTCTGCAGCGAGGCTGCGGGCTAGTTGGATGACGGCTGCTTTGCTTGCATTATAGACGGGGCAGAGTAGACCCTGTGTGAAGATGGTCAGAGTGGATCTGTCAAATGTCATCCCACGCAGTGTGAGGGGGTGAGACTTGGAACCAAGACAACAACAACGACAACAACAACAACAACAACAACAACAACAACAACAACAACAACAACAACAACAACAACAACAACAACGTACCCTGTTCACAACAGTCCCGCTCATACTGGCGACTAGAGCGATACTACCTCCATTCCCGAACCGAATCATCTGCCTCGCCACGGCCTGAGCCGTCATGAACACACCCGTCACATTAACCTCGAGCAGAGCATTGGTATCTTCGGTAGAGTGCTCCAGGGCAGACGTCTCCTGCTGGATTGCGGCTGCGGCGATTAGACCATCGATGCGACCCTCGTGATTGGCTATGTCCTCGATCGCGGTATGCAGCAGGGCTGTGTCCCGCACGTCGACACGGCGGTACTGCAGCTCGGTGCGCCATGCTGTGGCGCGTTGCTGGACTTTTCTGAATTCCGCTGACTTTTGGAAGGAATGGGTTATTGGGGAGGGTTATTCGCTTTAGGGGAAGGGGGGGGGGATTGTTTCACGATGTTGGCACATACCGGCTCTTTCAGATCATCTAGCGCGTATACTTTGGCCCCCGCTTCTAGGAGAGCTTCGGTCAGGGCGAGGCCTAGACCTCGACCCGCACCTGTGACTAGGGATACCTTGCCCGTTAGGCTGAAGTCGGGGATTGACGTGGTTGAGTCCAGGTGAAGGGGGGGTGTAACGGGGGTAGCATAAATCTTGGTTTCGGTTGACATTGGATGTTGGTAACAGTTGGCGATAGAATGGAATTAGTCAGGTCGATCGGAGGATAATGAAGGCAGTAGAAGCTGGCAGATACGGTGAAGTCTGAGGACCTCGACCTCGGAACTAGTGGGCCGAGTTTTCTCTTCTCATATTTCATCGATTCAGGATGGCCCTGGCTATTAGGTCGCGTGAACAGTAGAGAGATTGGAACGACACACGAGCGTGGTCTCTCGGGTGGCTTATTGGGTTGGAGACATGGTTGTACGATGTATGGGTCGTATATGTCAAGAGACTCATAGCTAATCCATCTTGCACGAGGGCCATACGTGTTTCCTGGGAGGTTTGGGAGGGCTTTTGGTTGCCCAACTATTAAATCTGGAGCTTCTGGGTCTATGGTTGCCATGGTTCATGGGTGGATCGGTTATTCAAGGAATAGTTCAGTGGAGTCGATTGCAACTACGGAGGAGGTACACCTTGACTGATCTATGTGAGAGGAAGCTATAGAACTATGACTCTTTCAAGGGGGCTGGACATGACGAGTTTGATTTGTAGGAAAAGGGAGAATTCAAGAGGAACTGAAATGGTAAAGAAGAGCCTCTGGCTCTGTGACGTATCCAATGGCGGGGGGGGGGGCGAGGGGCGAATGATTTTGGCTGTGGAGCAGAATGTATCTGCTAATCAAGATTAAAGAACAATGCCAGGGATAGCGGATGAAATACCCAGCCTCTGATCTCTTTACAGTCGTGAGATCATGGGTAAAAAAAAATGGGTGGATAGTATATGGGTAAATGTCCAGAAAAAAAAGAGCCTGTAAACACAAGGTAGTTAATGGAGAAAAAACCCCCTCCCCATAGGTATGAGAATCATATATAAGAAGAAAAAAAATTGGAAAGATCCGTAGGGAGAATGACCAGAATGAAGCCACATCGCAGTCGCGATCAGTTCGCGATCGCATGGGGTTCAGTCCAAAAAGCGGGTTCGAAGCAGGTCCATTCCCCAAGTTCGGCTCGTACTCATCGATCCTTGGGCACCACAGGGGCAACCGCGCCCTTTTCGTGCCAGTTGATACCCTGCGACTTGAGCTGCTTACGCGCCCTCCGGCCACGACAGCAAGCCGCACAACATGAACCAATCTGGAGAATAAAAGCCAATAGACTGAACGTTGAAGCGATCCACATAAAGACCAGCATCTGGGTACCGACGTGGGCCTGAATGTTGATACTCTGGTCGGCGTTGGAGAAGACATTGGCAAAGATCACGAACATGACCGTTGCGATAATGGACCCGGCGATCGTCACCAGTGCAGTGAAAAATGTCAGAATCAGCATGGGCAGGGCGCGCAGCCAAACGAAGGTGCGACGGCGGTGGGGTGGATTCCCGACGGGCGAATGACCATCGCGGTAGCCTGCTGCCCAGGCTTTAATGCTCCGCGGGTGTCGCGAGGATACGGCGAGTCGGGCGACGAAGATCAGGACGAAATTGAGGACTGCCGCAGCGAGAAAAAGACCGAACATCCAGTGGGAAGCGGTACGAGCTAGTTTCAACGGGCTTTCGATATCGGCTGGGAGAGCGACTGAAGGGGGGGAGGGGGTTAGTATTCACGTTCCAGGGGTTCTATAAATGCGGGGAGATTTGTACATACTGGTAGCACCAGCTAACAGTTCATTAAGGATGATATCCACAGGATTAAAGGCATAGAGAGTCTCCGGTTTGGAGCAGTGCGTGATGCCCTGTCCATTATATCCTTCACAGAAGTTCCATAGGCCGACCTGGTAAAAGTCATGCAGACCGATAGATTGGGCGATAGAGTTGATCAGGACGGCATTTGGAATCGAGACTGGAATCACATTGGACAGATCGAGGTAGAGGAAATAGGTACTGCGTATGACTGGTCTATTATAGGTGTTGCCAATGACTACCAGCACCAAAAAGATCCAAGCGATCAAGTACAACAGCGACCGTACTAGGCGATGCCATTGGACGGAGGCCTTTCGCTGGCGGTCAATTGGGATAGCGGACTTGAAAAAGGGTAGCTTTCGTTGGTCATTGTCCGTCTTCATGATCGAAATTTGACAGAAGAAAAGGAGAGGAAATCCCTCGGAGAGAAAATAAGAGGGAAGTAGGGTTCCCAAGGCCGAGAATGACGTTGGGCCATGAGTGGATTAGCAGAGCTTTGAATTCATTGAATTTACAATGGGGATTTACAATGATTTACAATTTCCTCCAGAGTCCTGCGATTGGAGTCAACTGAGAAATCAACAGAGTCGTCTGTCTCCGATCGTCGGTGGCTGAACGCTAGTGGCACCCCTGGCCTACCTTGACGATCATTTTAGTTCTGCTCTACCACAGGGGAGAAAGATCAAGAGAATCAAAACTCCCGGATATTAATAGATTAATCGACAGAATCATCGCGTGCCTTACTGAGACATAGGCTAAATATGTAATAGGCAGCAATGGAGAGAGCCCAGATGCTGGTCTTTGCCCACTTCGCCCCCCTATGTCCACGACTTCAAAAATCAATAAAAAAAAGGATTCAAAACATCCAAATATTATTGGCCCATCACTCTTATCCATTGGTGGTCAACGTCATTTTGTTTTCAATTTTATTTATTTAATTTAATTTTATTTTTTTTTAAACTACCAATCCCCACATGCTCGGCGATTAGGTAAGTGGAAGTATTTCCCGTCAACTCCTGTTGGGAGGGGGGGGGGATCTCATCGTTTCACACAAAGATGAGGTGGCCTACTACAATTCTTCTCGGGTTCCTGGCTGTGACTCGAGCAGAATCAACGACTCAATTCTCCACCGAGTCGGGGAAGACTACCGATGGACCCACGGTTGTGTCAATCACAACTCCCGTGGCAATTCCCTCGGGTACCTACCAAGATCCCAGTACAACAATCACATTGAGTGATGGCGATAAGTCGACTATTCGATCGACTACCCAACATAATGGCACAATGACAGTCTCCAACCAAACGTCTATCACGACTTCCGATTCCATGACGTTACTGGTGGGTGGAGGAACCACGGTGATTGGGAACTATAGCATGAACGCGACCACGACTACCATCAGCACGGCTACCAATACCCCTGTTGTCAATACCCGTCCCTGTAATAACTATCCTGAATTTTGTGCCAGGAAGTACTCCAATATTACTATGGTTGCAGCACACAACAGCCCGTTTGTGCGCAAGAACAACCTCGCCGCCAACCAGGAGCTGGATGTGACAACGCAGTTGAATGACGGAATTCGCACATGTAAGTGAAGCAGCGGTGGTGGAACCCTTTTTTTTTAGATTTGGAGTCAACCAACTCAACACCTGTTAACTTACGAACTAGTGCAACTCCAAGCTCACTACGTGAATGGCACCATCTACCTGTGCCACACAACCTGTCAATTGTTGAACGTCGGCACCCTCGAAGCATACCTGACCGATGTCAACAGATGGATGCGAAGAAACCCATATGATGTGGTGACCTTTGTCATCGGCAACTTTGACTATGTCTCTCCCGAGAACTTTACAACCCCGATCTACAACTCCGGACTGAAGGATTTGATCTACACACCCACCAAGGTCCCAATGGCCCTGAACGACTGGCCCACCCTCTCGGAGATGATCCTCAAGCAGAAGCGCGCCGTCTTTTTCCTAGACTACCAGGCCAACCAGACCACTTACCCATGGCTGATGGATGAGTTCTCCCAGATGTGGGAGACGCCCTTCTCACCCACGGACCCTACCTTCCCCTGCACACAACAGCGCCCACCCGGTCTGTCTGTTGCAGCTGCCAAGGACCGCATGTATATGGCCAATCACAATCTGAACTTGCAGTTGAACCTTGGCGCTCTGAGCTTGTTGATTCCGAATACCGCTCAGATTGACGAGATCAATGCTGTGAATGGCAGTGGTAGTCTAGGTGCAATGGCTCAAAACTGCACAGGTAAGTCGAGTTCTCGTTGATCTGCAGTGCTTGTTCTAACTCTGAACAGCAACCTGGGGCCGTCCACCCAACATGCTTCTGGTCGATTACTATAACTATGGGAATTTCAACGGCTCGGTCTTCGAGGTCGCTGCGGAGATGAACAATGTGACGTACAACGGTAAATGCTGTGGCAAGACTTCTGGCGCCCTGCGCGAGATTTCTGTCGCCGATATGTCAACGGTGCTGGTGGTGGCAGTGGGAGTGCAGATGGTGATATCTGTATTCTGATTCCCACGATGTCGATGACGATTTTTGGATGTCTGACCAGATCGGTCGTCAGTGCTTTTATTTGGGTTTTTGGCTTGCTGGCTGTGCACATCACATGGTTCTGGATATGATTTTAATATATACACACTCTGTACAATATCGCCAATTTGATCAATAGACCTGCCATTCGCTAGAACTTGAGACAGAGAGAGAGAGAGAGAGAGAGAGAAACGTCTTCAAATTTACCAAAATGCCTAATCCCACCCCCATCCCCAGCTCCCTGACATCACATGACCACTCCCCACCGCACCGCAAACCACCTCCACCAGACCCTCACCAAAACCACCCCCTCACCAAACCCGAGCGCACAGGACAAACCGCCAAAATGGTCGATATCGTCCCCCTCAGCAGCTACCCCTCCTACATCGACCTCCTCCCCTCCATCCAAACCTGCAACATAACAAACCTGCCAGAGAACTACTTCCTAAAATACTACCTGTACCACGCCCTAACCTGGCCGCAGCTAAGCTTCGTGGCAGTCGTACGTCCGCGCAATGGATATAAGTCCGGGTCCACGGGCGCTGGCATCGCCGGCGATGTCTCAGGCGAGTATCCTAAAGTCGTTGGATACGTTCTCGCGAAGATGGAGGAGGAGCCGACGGATGGGAAGCAGCATGGTCACATTACCAGTTTGAGTGTGATGCGCACGCATCGACGGTTGGGAATTGCGGAGAGATTGATGCGGATGAGTCGTGAGTTTAACTTTAATTTTGAGTTTTTTTGGGGGGGGGGGGGAGGCATTTGCATGTGCATGTGCATTTGCGTGAATTTAAACGGATTCGGGTTTGCATTTGCAGATAGTCACGGTGTGCTGATTTCTATATTGTTGCAGAACGCGCAATGGCCGAATCTCACCGCGCGCATTACGTCTCGCTGCACGTGCGTATGTCGAACTTTGCTGCGCTGCGATTGTACCGCGACACGCTTGGCTTTGAGGTCGAGAAAGTTGAGGATGGATACTACGCTGACGGTGAGGATGCGTATGCTATGCGCTTGGATCTTCAGAACATGTGGCTTGATTGGAAGGCTATTGAGAAGCGGGATGCGAACACCAATAAGGAGAAAAATGGGGAGGAGGGGAATGAGGATGAGGGTGAAGAGGTTGGAGAGCTTGGGAAGAAGGACGCCGAGAAGATGATTCGGGTTAAGGTTGGGAGGGGACTTGGGGTTGGTGATTTGGTTGAGAAGAATGAGTCGAAGGCTTAGAGGATATGGATGTCAATATCGATGCAAATAGTGACAAGTGCGCTTTGTATGTATAGAGATCCTTTTTTGAAAAAAAAAAAAAAAAAAGAATTCATTCCAGTGCTTTTGGAATGCGAGTGGATGTCAATGTGAATTGCAAAATTTTCGCCAAAGTACTAAGGTGAATTGTAGCTTCGTCGACTTGGATGTGGTCGAGATTTGACCCTATACACGGAGAAGCAAAGTCATATTTGCCCGTCCTCCCAAGTTAATGTTGAGCTCTGCGCTGAAAAATGGCACTTAAAAAAAGACAAGAGAAAACGTCCAGCTTATCAGATCATTTACCTCCCGCATCATCCTCTTTTGCCTGTTGCTTCTTCGCCTTGCGCGATAACAGCATATCCTTTAGCCGACTGGAGGTGTCAGCCGCCTTCCCTTGCTTTAGAGAGGCGGAAGAACCCCCAACACGCATCAAGTTCTGCGTACTCGGCCGCGAGACGGAAGGGGAAGGGGGGTTAGAAGCAACCCCAAAGCCAACATTTGATCGATTTGGCGTCAAAATTGGACTAAGCTGCGTGTGAATGCTGACTGGACGTGCAGGCAAGGGCGGATTAGATTGCCGAGGATCTTCCAGCCGTAATCTTCCAAGCTGCTGATCTAGCGGCTGGTCATGCATATGCTTCGTCTTATCGCCGTCACTAGAGCGAGCCTGTCGTGCCTGGCGGCGTCGAGTGCGTCGGCGTTCGCGCTGCTCATCTCGCGCTCGGCGCAGCGTATCCCGGAACGCTTTCTTGGTAGCGCGCATTTCTTCTTTCATGGCGCGTCTGTCAACTGAGTTGCGTTGCTGCTGCTCGGGTGATTCCCAGCGACCCCAGTCGGCGTCGCTGGATTGTTGATTATTTGGTTGGCTTTGATTGAAACCGGCTCGCCAGTGAGTTTTACCAGAGAACTTGGCTTCTCGGCGGGACTCCTGCAGGACTGAGAGTTGCCGACGGAGATCGACGGCGGCGTTGTATAGTACCCGATCATGACGATCATCTAGAAGTTCCAACTGAGTGCGCACTGTGGCAAGGTCGAGAACGCCCAGGTCCGATGTTGTCGAGATGGAGTCAATTGAGCTGAAGGAGGACTCGGACGAGACTGAGCTCGCTGATGCTCGTCTGCTGCGTTCGGTCACAGGAGGTTCTATTCGAAGCTGATTGGTTGAAGACTTAGGTTTGTTGCTATCGATCTGAGTAATTGTCTCAGGCTGACTGGTCGAATTTGGGCTTGTCACGGGGCTGGGGGTTTGGATGGGCGTCATTGGGATGTTGGCGATGGGACGAGGAGAGTTATCCCAGGCCGGCCAGGAGTAGTAGCCACCGCCAAATTGAGGTCCGGCCATATGTGACTTCCGGCCATGAAGCCTTGCCTGTTCTTCAATCCAGCGGCCATGTGCAAGAGCCTGCTCCTCGACCTGCCGCCCATAATGCTGTGCCTGTGCGCTGATTTGGTCTCCATAGTGTTGTGCCTGTTCGCTGAACCGCTCTCCGTATTTCTGCGCTTGCGATGCGATCTGTGTAATCCACGCTAGAGTCCCACTCTTCTGGGTGCCGTTATTGGGAGATTGCTGTTGCTGCTGGGGATAGTTCCAAGTGTTCCATTGCCATGCGCCTTGTGGTGGATGAGGGTAATATTGAGGTGGTTGGTTAGGAGATATAGGGGGAGGGTATAGAGGAGCACCATGTACTCCATACGGAGCTGGGGGCACATGTACTTGGGGGTTGGGGAACACAGGGGGCATCGCCCAAGGGGTCGGAGAAGGAACATGCTGCCCTGGCACGGGCGATGGAGCATTTAAGATCCGAACAGGCTGACCTTCGATTGAACCCGTTGTCGCTGGATAGCATTTGGGACACAAAGCAGACGACGGCGCAGAGTCAGGTTCGGCCACATAGACAAAGACAATCTGAGTAGTGCGGAGCTCGAAAAAGCATTCGTTCCATTCAGCGACAACGGCAGAAACTCGAGCCTTACGTTGCTCATCGGTCTCTTGTGGGCGATCCTTGCGGTCGCGTCTGATTTCCGCCCGTAATTGGCGCGGGAGGTGCTGAGAGGATGCAGCGAGCCCCAATTGCGGCGGAAATAGATGCTTTAAGAAGATGTCCCAGTCCTGCTGAGTAATCTCATCTAACCGCGAGGCCCAGCACCGCGGCCGTCGAGGGAAATCCTTGCCTTGGCTCCGAGGATAGATGGTCATATGATGTTGTAGAAGACTCCGGCCCTCGTTTACGACCGAGGGAAGCCGTTCCTCAAAGTACGCAGCGGCAGATCTGAAATGCACCGGCACGACTGTCGGCTGTGTCGGGCCACGGGAACAACTGGCATCCTGCGTCGGGGTGTCAGCCACCCCAGGAGCACTTGGGGCTTGAGAAGAGCTGTTGTTCCGGCCGTTCGCTGGTGCGAGCAATGGATCAACGGCCGAGTATGGGGGGGGTGGAGCCTCCTCTTGGTCCATTTTGAGAAGGCGGTTACGGTCGGCCGGGATAGAGCAAAGAGGAGCAAAAATGCAGTGGCCTAGGAAGGGCTACAGATCTTCTGTCAGACCTGAATCCTCATGCTGTGATAAGATAACGAGAGCCTGGGGGTGGAAGGCAACAGAATTAGGTACTGTGAATGGGGATTTCTGCAAGTATGAAAGACTTGGCGCATAATTTTTTGAGAGAATTTATGTCCAACCAAGAGATAGGATGAGTAACTCGCAACGACAAAGGGAATACGGAGACCCTTTTGAGGAGGGACAGACGCGGAAGAAGGTGGATCTTGGAAAGAGTGAGGAAAGTGGCAGGATATTGGCGGAGACGATAAGATAAGCCCTTATCGATTGCAAGAAGCCAAGGACAATCTTCAGCGTGGGCTTGTACAAACCTCCAATACTCCAGTGGAACACATGTTTCTAAGATTGAACAGGTTTAGGAGGTCAAATGAAAAAGTCGCCAATTGAGCATATGGGCATGTTTAACATAGTCATATTCATACCTAGAGGGGTGTCGGTGGCCCTCTGCGGTGCACATAAAACGTGTTCTTGAGGATGAAAACTACACAGTTCAAAGGGAAAATTTTCGACATTGGTATACTCCTCAGCACTAGATGACCCAAGTACTGCTTGATTGGAAGATACAACCATGGGCCTTCCTTCTATAAGTTCATCACCGGCAACTTCGTTAGGAAGACCATCGGGTATCTAGCATATAGCTTCAAAGGTTGAACGGATGCTCTATATGTCACTGTAGTGTTTTCTAGGCCCAGATTGTTTCATCCCAAGTCAGTGGCCACAAAGCGTCTTAGATCGGATGTGTTTCCAGTTCATGGATTGATGCTTTTAGCTTAGTCAAGGTGCGCACGCCACTAGTGTCGGTATATCTTTGCTTGAATTGGACATGCGTAGTGTCGTTGGATAGACTCGTGTAAGCCATGTCTCTCACCCATGTGCGGGGTTACTTGAAAGTGAGGCTATAATCTGGGTGTCGTTTTTGCCCATGCAGATCCTTCGTCTGGATTTTATCTTCTCCTCTCCTCTCCTCTCCTGTCCTGTCTTTTCCGGTCTTTTCCTTCTGCGCAAATTGATTACTCTTAATCAAACTGCAGGTAAATTACAATTACCAGCAGTCTTAAAGATTCGCAGTCATTGACAAAGCTCTCCAATTGTCTCAACTGTGGCAAGAAGCCTGTTCTATTCTGATCTTCGGCTGTCGACTGAAAGGCAACAAGAGACATCCACACCATCGATACACGCCCTTCTGGCGTAGTCAGATCTTTTATTCAATCTATCAATACAGTAAGCGTACCAGCATCCATTGTGTGAGTTTTACAAAAATTTCCGAACTAACTGGGTGGGCTTCCATTTAGTTCCAGACGGAATATCTCTCACTCTACAGCAACAGGCATCCTATCGACAGAGATCTTTCCAAATCCACACCAAAATGTCTGCAGAGCACACTCGCGATTGGTCGACCCTTCTGCCAACTATGAAGCCGACTGGACAAATTGACCAAGCATTTGATCTGCCAGAAACTGGCTGCTTTGTGCTGTACCAGTTTCCGTGTGTTTTAGAACATCCATCCCACTATGTCACTTGGCGCAATAGCGTCTGCCACATCCTGAAAATGCACAGACTTCATCGACTTATCGACTCTGGCATTGCCCGCCCTTATAAAGACTCGCCCAATGCTCAGAGATGGCAACAGATGTCGATCGAAGTCCGCAACTGGATCGCGTGGAACATGAATCCAATCCTTGTGCGCATGATTGTGAAAGAGGAACCTCGTGCTGAACTGGCAGACGAGTTCATGGTGGGGGCTGACACGATTCTTCTTCAGGGGCACACCCGCTCCCCCGTACAAGACTTCGATGATGTCTCCGCCGGTCTCTTCAATCTCATTCGGTGCCGGCGAGATGATTATTCTAGTATCCGGTTGTTTGTTCATCGTCTTATGGAGTATTACACACACACGCTGAATTTGAAAATGGGAATTCCGCCGTTTGTCCCGTTGTTGATTTTATTGCACGAAATTGAGGGTGATGTGGGAACGGCATTTGTCAAGCTAAGATACGATCAACTGGATGATTTGAACAATATCACCCAGGATGTCACCAAAGCGTACTTTGAAGATGTTTACTTTGACGTGTTGGAGCACCTTGAGTTGATGGGTCAGACACCTCGCGATGCTCATCATCCACTGACTGAATGACGGTGCTTGATGAAGGAAAACTATGGCCAGCTTTTATCGTGAGGTTACTGGGAAGACGTTGAGAATGAAACAATGAGCGTGATATGGAGGCTATTTTCCAGAGGCTGTTTCGAACAGTCTAAAGGTCCGAGAGAGCAAACTAACGAGGCAAGCTATTGAGTGCGTGTAGCTTACATCAATTGAATATAATATCTCTTTTTAACCAATTGACTTATGCGCATTAGAATAAACTCAAGGTTCATGTAAAAGTGGCCCCACACTCAAACCACGGTACCTGGCATCAAGCAGTGATTCAGCGCCTGGATGTTGGTCAAACTGAAGGGTTATGTTTTGGTACAGATTTCAAAATAGTGGAGCACTGAATCCTCGCTTTACGGAAATGTCCGTGTCCATAACGTTGTTTTTGTGCATGGGCGTCTGGAATTGAACAATTTTGTTGTGCGTACATATGCTCATCCAGACATATATCATTGGGTGCTATCCCAAATGTGCAGTATCTGCCAATGCCACTTTGACAGTAACTCGCTCCATGGTTGGAGCTCTGCTTCCGCTTACTGGGCCGAAGAAATTTGGCAATTTGGTTATCGGATAGGGCAATTCGTTTCCTAGGTTCTTGGCTCTGGCATTCATCCCAATTCCTGTCGTCTTTATCAAGTACGGCAAGGTGATTCGAGAGAAACGGCCTGTGGATCTTGATAGGAAAAAGACTTAAGCCGACACTGTCTTTAGGGGCATCTTACTCGTTCCACATCGACCTTGTCTCTCTCTATTATCATGTTAGTGTTTAAAGACCCCCTCGAAAGTGCAGATACAGAATTCATTTAATAGAGCTTTGTAGAAAAGGAACCTCTTCATATGAACGTGGTATACGACAGCAAAGACTAACCAGCCCTTACGTTTTTTTACAAAAATTTATCAACTCCCCTCAAGGAGGGTACGCCACCCACTTACAAAACTACTACTACTTTTGCACAATTGAACTTTTTTACTAGGCAGACCAATTTAAAGGCAAATATTTAAACGCTGAATAAGAGTGCCTTAGAAGTCTTTAAGAACTAACTGTTACCTAGAAAGTATAACAATTTCGTCTATTTCAATACCAAATTCGGGTTTTTAGCCTAGGTTTAGGGAGCCTTCCTACAATAAAATTTAAACCTATTATCGTCTCTTATGTAAGATATTCAGAAAATTTACCATAAATTTTTAAAAAGGGTTTGAGGCTAAATTAAAGTGTGAGTTATGCACTTGAGATAGAGGTGGCGGACCCCGCTTACGAGGGCCCGTTTCTTAAAAAAAAATTACAGCAGCTGGTCATTAAAAATACCAAAAGACCCGCCAAAAAATGCCGCTAAAAAGATCTCTAAAACGACATCCAAAAGGTCCACCAAAAATATCCACCAAAAATATCCACTAGAAATACCCGCCAAAAATACCGCTAAAAACTCTAAAAAGACTTACAAAATTGATCCACCGAAAAGACCCGCCAAAAATACCGCTAAAAGGAGCTCTAAAATGACCTCCAAAAAGATCCACTAAAAATACCACTAAAATAAACTCTAAAAAGACCTCTACATTTAACGATTACTAAGAGGAAATTCTAATGCTATACACGCGGCCAAAAATTGTTGTAAGGCCTTAGTAAAACTGAAGCACGGGATTTAAGCATAGAAAGAAAAGTTATCTAGGATTTAGGAATTAAGAAATCAGGTACCAAGACACAAGCACTAAGTATTCAGGGATTAAAGACCGAGAGATTTAATCATTGAGGCTCCGACAAGAGATGAATTTCAACCAAAGAATTGGTATAAGATAAGTGTCTTCAGACGTAAAATATCGTCACATTGTACAGCACACACACTGTAGTCACATCAGTTGCAGCGCACCGGCAGTTTGAGACAGCCGTAACGAGATCATTCCTTAGAAAAGTTCAACCACAATTTGATTGGTACACATCCCCCCCCACAAGATCAGAATATCTTCTAATGAACTCAGGAGTAAGTCTCCACCCCCTGTCCATCATGAACGTCTCATGGAACGCCTTTTTGATGCACAACTCGTTATGTTCATGTCGTTCAAGAGCCGTCTCACTCCAAGGCCATCGGATCTTAACAAGTCATCAACCCAAACAGACTATCCCGATCCGATCGTTGCTATACAAGTGCCACCGCCGGATTAGATTTAGTCTGACATTTGGCCAAGGCAAGAAATCCAACCAGAGCAGATGCGGAACGGTCATCTGGCTTTGCACGGGCCAAAGGAACGTAGGGAGTCGGCTATACGTCTCCGGATTGGGCGTGGTGATCCATCTCGAGAAGTATTAAGTCAGCCAGCTAGTACTCCGTCGCTCCGGATCGCAGATTGGGCGGCGTTGCAGAGCTGTGTGAAGCATGTCTGCTAGCGAATTTGATTTCGTGCCGTTATATGAAGTCACGAGGCGAGTTGGGGACGTCTGGGCATGGGATTATCGGCTTTGGGTAGACGAACCACGGGTATGAGATCAAGTTGCGCGTGCGGAAGTCGTCAGTGTGTGATAGGATTTGATTCTATAGAGGTGTTGCTGTGGCGGAAAGAGGTTCTAGAGATGGGGACTGGATTTTTGGTGGTGTTGCTTCAGTGGAAACGGCGGTGCTGAGAAGATTTTTAATCCAGTGCTGAGGTATTACTTCGTTCAAGTTCGTGTGGAGGTAGGACCGGGCGTCTCGGTTACTCATCTCCTTATACAGAGATGACAGGTCTTGATTGGAGTCATTGGTGGCGGAAGGCTCATCTGGTTCCGTCCCCCATGGGTTGACGAGGGATTTGAAGTTATTTTGGCGCTTGAGAAGGGCTGCATTTTGCTTGCCCCGTCCTTCGATTACTTGGAAAAGGCGTTGCACGCCCTGGTCGCTGTGGTGTTGTTTGCAGTTTGTTGTCTGTTCTTCGAGTTGGGCTATATGCCGTAGCTTCCTTTCGCGAAGAGTCGGCTGTGAGCGTCGATCTCAAAGTCGTTTTTTCTCATTGGAAGACATCGGTTTTGATGCTCTGACGTCGTGGAAGAGTGGTATCGGCAGATTTAATATCCGATTTCTGCAGAATTCGATACAAGTGGACATGTATAATTCTCCTGCAAATTTCTCAACTTCATGCCTCTACTATCCTCGGTGGCCTTTCTAGATGGTATAGTTCTTTTTAAAAAAACTCTCTCTCGAAATTCCAGTTGTGCAGTCCTGAAGTATAGAAATAACTAGTGCACCATACATATCTTGCAAGAAGCTACACCCCGATACCAGCTCCTCTTTTGCTCCAATGTTAGGCCCAGATTTTTGAATCATGACCACCAATTTATGATGGAAAACATTTTTTCTAGCGGCTGTTGGGCTATTTGGCAACGACCCATCTTCCCTTCAATCTGGGAAGTAAAGCTGGTGGCATGTTGTCAGACTCATTGGCCAAAATCCCAGTTCCAAGAGTGTGCTCTACAGAGCAGATATACTGTGAGTGATTTTAAATCGTGTCACCTATTTAAAAGCAAGTTGTTGACATCTGATCTGATTCGCAGGTAATGACCCGTGTTCACACACGAGTGGAAGATGGTTGAGTCGTGATGAACTTGAACGAAAGTCTCGGGACATCCAATTTGACTTCCGAACCCTGGTTATTTTGTCCAGGAGCGAAAAGTTTTTCGATTATGGTGGATTCCACATGGCGTTCTTTTTCACATTGGACACTGGTTCTCGAGTCGTGGCAAGGTTACCCACCGGCATTGCTGGCCCAGCACGCCTCGTGACTAATTCCGAAGTTGCTACGATGGAATTTCGTAAGTCTGGTCTGTATAATTATGTTTTCCTTTTGTTTATATTAATTGTTCCTTGTAGTGCAGTCCAAGCTGGCTCTTCCAATAATCAAAGTCCTAGATTGGAAACACACACATCGTCAAACCCTGTCGAGTCAGAATACATCACCCAAGAGCACGTTGAGGGTATCCGGCTGCATCGAAATACACTTGGAACAGCAGATGCTATGCAACAAGGCGCTCTCTATCCTGATCAAAAATATTGGCATCATTAGACTTTCCGGTCTATGGAAGTCTATACTTCTCTGACACACCAGTAGAAGCCACCCGAAAAATCTCTTTTGATCAGGATCTTGACCAAAAATTGTGCATTGGAACTAATTGTAGTCCTATATTCTGGAATCAATGTCCGGGAGAACCCGAGCTATATGGCGGTGCTAGCCCCAATTGTGGCCCCTGTGAGCCTCTAGACTTTATTAATCTCTGTGAGATATGGTTCTAACTCCTTGGTACAACATTCGGGGATAACTTGACAAAGTGTTGTAATGGACTGATCAATACCGGCACTTCTCGTTAACCAGAACAAGAAGAGACCAGTAGCTCCAAACGCCCTTATCAAGGGTCTACTTAAAAGCACAGCCATCTCTCAATAGGCTTCAAGGTCTATCAGAGACTCTTGTTCTGGCTGATGGCTAATATGGACACTAACTTTGATGGAAAGCTGATGGGGAGTTGAAGGTGGGGAAAGCGGATAAACTGAGGCCTTTCGATGCTCAATAATCATTGAGAAGCCTGCTGGGAGTTGGTCAGTCCTTCGGCAGGAACTCTATGGAGGTTAATATGAATGGTCGTTGTCGATTCAGCGCATGGCTTCAGAGTGAGAGATTCAACTCCATGCAATCAAAAAAGCAGAAAATAGAAGAACAATCCTGATCTATGTGTCTGCTTGGTAAAATGATAACTTCTAACTCTCGTAACTTTTAGCCAATTCCCATTAATACAAAGGCGCTAGTGTGCAGATTGAAGTTAAAGGTTCGTTTATTGAAAGAATACCTGGTAGAGTAGATTTCAATCCTCACAAGGGGAAGAGAGTCAATAAACATGTCAGGCATCACTGCGCCTCCCAGCATTGCGGGCAAGGTGGTAAACACCCATGCGCAACGCACCCAGTAACTTCAGAATCCAGATTTTTTCTTTAACGTCATTGTTTTTGGAATCCATCCGATGGTATGCTCAGACATTCGGCAACCGGCGTTGTCCGGGGGGAATGCAGCTCACTCGATGTTCGCGCCACTGGTCACGCTGGCAGTCCTATGAAGAATCAATACCCGTGAACTGAACTTGGTTTTCATCTTGCCTACCTTGCTGCAGTACATCGCAAAATTGCACTTCTTGCATTTCAGAGGCTTGTGTCCGATATCTTCCTCGATCTTTCCACACTTGAAGCAGCTATCAAGGTCGTTAGCGCAAAGTGTCGTTATTAAGTCTTCCAAAGTAGACCCCACCTAGGGTCTTGGAAGTTACGTGGAACGCCGGGCTGGTAGTGATCCAAGGCGGCCAGAAACTGAGCCTTTCCCGGAGCTCTGAAGCCGTGGTCCTCGAAGATTGTTCGGCGGGAGGTGCAGTTGATTTGGGGCACTAGATCACGAAGATGCTGCAAATCCGCTCGGTTGATGCGAGCACCGGCACGCATCATGAGAGCACCCAGAATGATGGTGCGGTACTTGGATTCTTGGAAGAGGTCGTCCGGGTCCGATTCCATGGCACGACTGGCAGTAAACATCCGCTCTCCAAGGTTATCCGTGTCCAGTTTCTGGCGGACGTACGGGATGGTGACGTTAGCTAGCGAGTAGGCATATTCCGTGGTACTGTAGAGAGCCACGGCCTCCTGCGGTGCCAGCATGTCTGTTTGATGAACCATCGCACTCAACCTGTGCTCCCAGTGACCGGTCGTGATACCTAGATTGTCGTTGGACAAGGCAATAGCGACGTCGAGGTCTTGGTCGCTTTCAAACAGACCTAAAATAGACGTTGGTTCAGCCCGAAGTAGAGTAAAAAGAACGCGGGGCGGTGATACTGACGCCAGCCCCATCGACCCATGATGATTGTCGGATGCGTGCAATTGTGGGAGTGAGGTTGCGACTTAGCAAATTCAAACCCGGGACCGAAGTCGTACCAGAAGAAAGTTGGTAGCAGTAGTACTGGTAGAGAAAGGCGAATTCTGCGACTAGTTTGTGGATGAAGAACTGAGAAGTCGATTCACGACCCTGTCCACAAAAAATAAAAACGAGAAAAGTGCCGACTACCCAACTGGAGACTCGGAGTGTTCAACCCCGTTTGCTTGACTTCGTGAGACATGTTGAAGAAAACAGCCAGCTCTTACATATTCGATTTGTGATGAAATCCCTAGTCATAGATAAAGACCTCCTCGCCATTGCTTATAAGTTTTATCGCCTTCTTAGATATCCAAAGGCACATGGGTCTTTACTCACATTTTACATCCCCAACATCATCTTGGGGCCCAGGAAATCCCGTCAATCAAGTCTTGTGTCGTCAGTCAAAACAGGATATACAGCCCACTCTTCTTGGACGATTGAAACGGATTTCTGTCAATTTCCCGGGTTCATGGGCTGCGTAGAAGACAGAGATGAGACACAGCATAATATAGATGCCTGACTCGGCTCTTTTTCAACCGGAACATTCAGGGTGTAGTTCAATCAAGCATCATCAAAGGGGGGTGTTCCACTTTCCCAAAAAAAACAATAGCAGCTCAACTTCGTAGATATCGAGATCGGGATGAGACAGCGTGCCCACCGAACGACTTCCCTGTCAAATGATCATCCCATGGAATCTCAGACAGAGGATTGAGGACTTATAGCCTCAACAGTAAGGAGAACCACAGTCCGTTGATTCTATGGCAAGCTATCAGAGAGCTGAGAGAGAAGACAAGAGGGCGGAGAAAAAGTGAGCAGGACCGAGCCTGAGGATCAGGCACCAACAAACTATCTGGTATATTGTTTGAAAGCCTCATTATGTTCTCAGTCACTCCCCAAACCCCAGCCATATATAACCGTGCGAAAAGCTTAGAGGAGGCGATACCAAGCAGATGAGAGAACAATGTTTCGATCTGAAGAGCTTTCTTAGTTGCAATCATCCAAATTGGTAAGTTTGAAAGGTAGAATCAAGTGAGAGCATAGAGCATAGAACGTCGCACCCACAAGTCTACGTGGGAACTGGGTGGGAGTGGAAGGGGCCCTATGAGTCCCATGGGAATTCTTCTAGTGTCAATCTTGGCAACTCCGAAACTTGTGGTCCCTAGACTATTTCAGGGCGTATCATGTAGACCTGGGATTCTGGCTGAGAGTCTCGTGCGTAAGGGTTGGTGATTGAATTCTGGGGGAAAATGCAAAGCATCGTTCATCCTTGCCTCCAATATCAATGGCTTTGCTCCATCCTTCACTTTCACTTGTAGATACAGAGCGGAACAGAAGACGCTAGCTGGGGCCTGGATTAGTCTAGAATTTTTGCAGAGTATGGCAGACTGCCCGTTTCGAAAAATTTGGGCCTACAATAATTCTTGTGGGCTCACTCTGGGCCTCGCAGGATGACTAGCTTGGTTCGAGCAAGTTGATCTCATTTTGAAACTGTCCATAACCAGATTTTCGTCCTTTTTGGAACGGAAGAAATCGGAATCTTGAAATCCCTGTCCATCAGTCTCTCGCTATCCACAGCCAGTATGAACTTATTCCACGAACAAGCCCCTCACCCCCCCCCCCCTCGCAGAGTAAGTAACTGCATTCATTTCAACCACAGCCCTAACATATAACCAAAACAAGCTCCATTCGATTGACCAAAAGGGAGAAAGACGAGACCCCAGATGTGAGTGCAAGACAAAAACTCGGAAAAGTGACAGCAGAAAGAAAAGGCACATTGCTCGAACGCGGCTTAGCGCCCACTAGAGGTATTCGTACATATGCACACCTCAAAATCGCCCAGGAACCCCTCATCTTACATTTCCCCTCTGGAGGAAACATACTCCACCACGGGAGACTACGGGCTCAGGACCCTATTGGACTCCAACAAGAATTCCACAGGATGCTAGAAGATCATTGCCGAAATCATGGCCAAACGGTGGAGATCTTTTGCTTTTACGAGGAGCCTGAAGTGAATGGAGTTGGAAAGGTATGGGGTAAGCTCCTGCATGCTAAAAGCCAGCTATTCATTGACCCTGTTTAGATTGTGTCTGACTAATCTGCTATCATCCGGTTCTGCCAACATCGCTCTATCCACGGTGATCACATGCAGGTTACCAGGTTCAGCCGTTCTCTGGGTCCCGGATGCAAAGCTGGGAGCAATAATTTATGGCTGTGGGTCGATGAACTTCAAAATCGACAGGTGCAAGTCCCGTTGCAGGGAGCGATTTCCAGGTCAGCATACATGGCAAATCCCGGATGGTGGTCCCGAGACGCTCGGAAATTCGAGTGTGCAAATGGGCTTTTAAAATCAACGGTAGATGGTGGATAGTGATTGGCTAGTTTCGATCTTTCTTTCTCCTGATCAGGCATTATTCTGAAAGACAGAATAGAGTCCAGAGCATGCAAGTAGTCCAGAAGTGGCTTTCCTTTCCACCCTTTTGTTATCATTTGTTATCAATTAGTCTTCCAAGCTTTGGTTGCAATAGTCTTACACAAAGTGACTGACCTCTCATGAGAATTTGTTGCAAAGTCGTAGAGAGAACAAAGGCCCTTGAAGATAACTCAGGGAACCCACATTGGTGAACTTGGAACTGACAGTGGGTTTGAAATCGAAAGAATAGTAGATAGGGTTCCGCATCGATGGCTGATGAACAGGAGGGCAAGACCTAGGGGCAAATTGAGCAATGCAAGACTTGGGGTCTTGTGATGGTATCTACCCTGTGGCATAGGGATGTAAGGCGAAAAAAAGAAAATTGAAGACAGAGCTGAGAACAGAGATTTTTGGGGATGATTAAGAAGGGGAATCTCCCGAAAACAATCAAGTCAACCAAAACTACGTCTCACAAGGCAAGCCGGATATTTATCTGTGTATATACATTTCGAGCAAGCCACTAACAATAGAAAGCTTCGCTTTGTTTTCTCCCTTATTGAATCCTGCGTGATCTTTTGTTAGATGGCACTAGGAAATTGTCAAGAAAGATGCCACTTTGAACAGGAAAAAAAAAAGGTGAATATTAGCAAGTGGAATGCCTTGGAAATGGGTTTCCTTGGTGTCAAGCTTTGGTGACACGCAGGGTTGACCGGCGAGCATGATTGTGCTCTAAAGAGCGAGCGCAGCTATGTCCCTTTTTTGCCCCTCGCAGGCACAGTAAGCGATGGGGCATTCGCCGCAAGGCCACTGCCACCTAGGAGGGTACTAGTACTAGGTTCACTCTTCTAGATATAGGACCATTTCGTGTGTAATTTCTACCTCAGGGGCTCTTTTTTTTTTCTCTATTTTAGATATGACGGAGAACTAAATTGCTTCACATAGGACAACTCCTTCTTTTGGTGAACGAAAAGAATGCGCCTTTCCGCACTATGTACACACATCTTTGTTTTCTTGTCACGAGCTAGTAGAAGGTACCAGATAAACATTTAATTTGGTTTTTGCCTCTCTGGTATGGTAGTAGAAGAGTTTCA